GTCAGGTTTGTGCAGGTCCTGAACTCTTTGAGGGAGAAGGTGAACAAGCCTGCACCGAGTGTCTCGACCCCGGAAAGCTTTACAGCGGAGGAGTTGAGGGATCGCCCGACTGATGCTGGTGTCGCCGAAGATGATGATGAGGAAGGCGACCCATGGGATGCTCTGGATCCCGATGAGCACGAGGGCCCATCTGTTGGCAAAGCCAAGGCGAGCCACGCAGCTCCGCCTGACCCCAAGGCGAAGCCTCAGACGACGCAGGAGGATTCAACTCAGGCCACCTCAGCTGGTGAGCCCCTGCAAGAAAACGAGATCAAGGGTACCATCATTCCGAAACACGCACTTGGACACCTTGACAAATATCGCATCACTTTGGATGAAAATGTTAATGCAGAAGTAGTTGAACATTGCGTCGTTGATTCCCATCCCTACGAATTGATCGTCAAAACCTGTTGGGAGATGGATGGGGCAGAAGAGCTGAGGTTCCCAGATCGCATGGACCGACACAAGACTAAGGTCAATGCAGTGACACGTGGACAGCCGGGTCAGGACACCTCTGGATTTGATGAAAACATGTGGCTTGACCTTGATGACTTCTTTCGAATGTTCAACCAAATGCTGCCAGCCAAGTTGCCCCGAATGACAGTTGAAGAGCTCATCTCATTGCTCTACTGGGACAGCAAGTGCCGTTTTGAGTTCCAGTGCATTGCCGGGTACCAGAAGGCAACCCGTAAAGGGTTAGCCTACTGGCCCATCAGGATCCGTGCAGTGCAGGGGCATACGAAACGTGCCATGGATGCCGCTTCAGCTGAGGACACGTTCAATGCAGTGGAAATTTATGCTCTGTCTGGAGCAGCAGCGATCCAGAAAATGAACGCCAAAGGTAAAAAGATTACCACTCCTCAGATGTGCCCTGGCGTAGTTTATCACAGGACTACAAAAGGCAATTGGAAGGGCATCATTGAGAATGGCTTCGTGGCTGGAGGAGGAGAACGAAATTCGTCAGGAAGAGCTCACTCCTATTTTAGCGACGTTCGTGTTGATGAGAAAGAGTATGTGAGTGGTTTGCGTGCTGAGCGACCCATTGAAATCAGGGTTGCAATGGCAGAAGCTGTCAAGGCTGGAATTGTGTTTTTCAGGACGGCTTCTGACGGCATTCTCACAAGTGATGTCGTCCCGCCACAATACATCATCTCTGTGGACGACACGGCAAAGAAGGTGAATCTTTATCGTCGCCAACAGGAGGTTGCGCAGTCTGCAGCAAGCAGTGGGGGAGAAGTTGGAGTCCAACAGCTTGTCGAGACCTTTGAGGCCAAGGCACCAAAAAGGACAGGTTCAACATCTCCGGCCGCCTCAACTGGCGCGCCCGCTGCAAAGACATTTTTCCCAGGGAAGGTGAAGCCTCCGCCACCAAATGTGGCCCAACTTGCCGGTATGCCTGGATATGCAAGCAGCAGACTGTTGCCCCCTCCCCCAAAGGGTGATGCTCCGAAACCTCCTGCAGCAAAGGTTGAAGGACCGAAGACACCGCCAAAGGTTGAAGGACCAAAGACACCTCCAAAGACATCTCCAAGGACACCACCGAAGGAAGGGACTTCTGCACCTCATGCACCAGAAGTTCCAAAAGCTGTGACCTCAGAAGTTGATGCAGCGGCAAAGGACGAACCTGCAAAGAAGAAGGCCGCCCTAACAAGCGTGCCAACAGCTGTGCCTGCAGCATCATCAGCTGCAGCCTTCTTGGAGCCTGTCCCAAAAGTTGCACCACCAAAGGCAGTGCAGAAAGATCCAAAAGCTCCAGTTGCAGAGTCGCCCAAAAAGACGCCAGCAGCAACATCAAAGTCACTGGTGCCAAAGCAGAAGTCTCGCCCTAAAGGCGATGACCAACCTTCGAAGAAAGAGGTGAAGAAGGAGGACAAGAAGCCGGTGCCGGTCAAGATCGAAGTCACGCAATGCTCAAGATGTTTTGCACAGACTTTCAAGGGACAGATTGAGTGCGATGTGTGTGGTTTGATACTTGAAGGGATTAACAAGGCCGATCGAACCAAGATTGCAGAACGAAGAAAGGCCGCCCTTCATAAGCTGGGACTGTACTACGATTTCCGTGGGGAGTACCTACAGCAGATCACACATGGCCAACTTGAAAATTTGGGTTTGTTGGACGATCAGGCAAGAGGAAGCTCAAGTCCGGAAGCCGGCCTATTGGCAAGGGCCAAGAGTCGCTTCGACCGTGCCTTGAGTTTGGGCTATGTGTCTGTGGCTGACAGGTTCGCCCAGGACGCCACGTTCGCAGAGAGCGTGTTGAACGAGGGGGAGAACGAGTACGATTGTGAAAGGTACGACCTCCTCAAGTCCGCTCATTTGCCAAAGCCTGGTCGCACCAAAGCTCAGGTCAAGATGGGTATTTCTGAGCAATCCCAGCTGGAGCACAATGCAATGAGGCTGGTTTACTTGGATTTGGCCAGTCGCTATGATGTCCCAAAGTCTTTCAGGTACATCGACCAGCCATGGTTCTACATGTACCGAACCGAGATTTACTCCGAAGAAGAGTACATTGACTACCTCAACAGGAATCCTGGACACAATCTTTTGTTGTCTTGCACTGGTGTTGAGAACATTGCTGTTCATGATGCTGAACGCCATTTGAGGTGGATTAAGGGACAAAATGAAGAGCTGTACAAGCAGAACGCAGCAGAGAAGAAGAAGCAGTCTGACAGGGCCCGCGAGCAAAACGAGGCCAAGCGCAAAGCTGAGCAGACTGGAGCGTACGGCCAAGGTCCCTCCAAGAAAGGCACCGCCAAACCGGTTGCCCGACCATCCACAAGCGTAGAGGTAGCCTCATCATCCACGTCAGCAAGTCAGTGGCTCAATCGCCCTCAGCAAAGTCATTCCCGTGAAGATCGACAGTTCACCAATGAGTGGCAGAAGTGGCATGGGCGCTGGTACCAAAAGGTTATCAGGCATGGCCGAGTCGAATGGGAAGAGGGATAAATTTTGACACTGCTTGCATTGACGATCGGTTTTTGTATAATAGCCGCTGTTTTGGGTTTCCTCAGGTCGTGCAAAGAGTTGGATCGGTAAGGCAGGCTTTAAAAGCCTCGCCCTGGTAAATGGGCAGCCTTGCCGTGTCCGGCTCACCTGAGGGGGGTGTATTTGCACTCCACCATAAACCCTATGTAAACTAGCTATACATGACAGCTATGCGGCTCAGGCTAAAAAGGGTTGAGTTGCTGCGCTTAACGGTTATTTTCTTTCCCCACCTTTAGGTTTATCAGTCTATTTGGGATTATAGTCATAACCCAGCTGAAACCTGAAAATACAAAATCTGATGACTTGTTGCTGTCTCCAATCCAGAAACATACAATTTTGGACCTTTTGAATGATTCAGATATTCAGAGTGAGCTCTTCTCCGTAGGTGGCTCAAGCAAAGAACACGCGAGTGTTGGCACTTCGAGAGTTGCAACCTGAGTGGTGGCACTGTTGCAACGTTGCACTCCCTGTCAGACAGATTTCGGAACTCCGACTTTTGTTGATCCCAGAATGACTTGGATTTTACCATATTAGTTGATAATAATACTGTATAATATTTATTAACTTATGTATATATCATATGTTAATGTTAATAATATATTACCAATTTTTACATAATATGTTTACCATATTTTACCAACCAAAATCTGTTTTTTTTCATGCAGCAAGCTAAAATCTGCATTTGACAGATCTTTTTAGGTGTGGTTTGAAGGCCATCCCAGAAGCTGCACTTGGTCCAGAGGTGGGAAGTTCTCGAGGGCCAGATGGGCTCGACAGTTGCACTTTGCAGACCGCAGTTTGACGGCATTTCTAGCTTGCAATAATTTCAATAGCTTGCAGTTTCGTTCTGAATGACTCTTTCCAGTACCCTCTGGTAAACATACAAAAAACTATTGAAAATGGCCATTGATAGTGGATTTATCCATTAAAAATTGTGATTTTCCATAGTTACGTTAGTTTACCAGAGGGTATGTCCAAAATCGTTTCAAATGCTGTGATGCTGTGATGCTGGGTCGACGTTGTCATACCCTGAGGCAGCTAATCTTCGAACAATAGATTTGGCATCCAATCAGCTCAAGGACAGATCTGGGGCGCAAAAATTGATTTCGCAGAAGATGAGAAAAACTGACAACCCATGTCACATAATTAATGTCCTATGTCGAATGTTCAGTTTGGTATGGATTGACAACCAGTATACAATTGACGAAGAATATTGTCCCATCACCGAAGGCCTTGCCTCCAAGCATAGCCCAATGGAGCAGCCGGGAACTTGGTGAGACGTAGAAGAAAGCTGTCTTCAGTCAAAAAAAACAGCGCCAGTTTCCAGGCATGAAGACACAGATCCCAGACCAAAGGAAAGGAAGGAATGTTTTTTTTAATGTTGTTTGTGTTTTTGTTTTCTATGTTGTCTCGCAATCTTACGTGCACTGCAGGTTTGCAATCGCTTTCTTGCGGCAACAATGCCATTACTGAATTGCCTGCATCCATCCAGAGCCTCGCTCAAGCCTTAGTGGCACTATGTAGCACTGTTAGTTTCACACAGATACTGGGTATTTGGCTGCAATTTGGCAGAAAGGTTAGCTGCCATTCTTTGTCAACGTGAGCTTCTGGTATTGGAATTGTATGCTTGGCAGGTCTCCCTCCAAAAGCTTTCGCTTTCGAGCAACAAACTAAGTGCCCCGAACAAAGCTTGTCAGGCCACTTTTTGAATCTTCAAAGGAAGAAGAGATCATCAGAATCATCAGATGCAGACAACTGAGAGACTGGAAGTCTTTCTTCTGCTCACTTGAAGCGTATTTGAAGCGTTGGGGAACTGCGCCTGATAATTGTGGGGATACTCATCTGGTTGGTGGTTTGGAACATGTTTTATTTTCCATAATATATGGGATAATCATCCCAACTGACTTTTATATTTTTCAGAGGGATTGAAACCACCAACCAGTCATTCTATCTCATTCTTGCCCAATGGACACGAGGTACATTGCCTGTAGAGATCTCTATGCTGAAGGCGGGTACTGGTAACCTGCAGTGATGCATAAAACAACATGAGCGTTGCTGCGATGCGCGAGCTGCGCAACATCACGAATCTTTGTTAGAGAACCAGGATGCATTGTTTCAATGACTGTTGGTGACTGGAACCATGGAATTTGATGAATGACTTTCCAGTTTCACAGTTGGGAATTTCATGGAATTTCATCATCCCAACTTTTCCCTTCACTCCATGATTTTTCAGAGGGGTACCCTCTGGTAAACTGACATAACTATGGAAAATCACCATTTTTAATGGGAAAATCCACTATCAATGGCCATTTTCAATAGCTATTTTGACATAACCAGAGGGTAGGTCAACCACCAGATGATCATGTCCACCGGAGGTGAAAGTCATTGAACTGGACCAGAACCTACTCGGCCCAAAGCTGCCTGAAGAGATCTTTTCTGGTCCAGTGCAAGCTGCCCAAGGAAGAGAAACTGTTGCAGATAAGATGAACCTTGCATGAACATAAGATGATGAACTAACATGAAAGGGGTTGGTTTGCCTGTCCCATTTTGGGAATATAAAGGACATCACCTTGTAGTAGCCATTATAGACCATATACCTAATGGTTGGGTGATGTTCAATGGGGACATTTAATGACCCATGTAACATGAAAAGAACATGAAGAATCAATAGACATATCAATATGACACCAACATGACAAAACATGAAAAGAACCTGAAAGCAAACCAATATTTTTGTATATCACACACACACACTTTTGCAATATATATATATATAATTATATATATAATATGTATTACATGTACATTGTATTGTCAATTTGTGACCATTTTTACTGGATAATAAATTAGTCTTGTGATGTTTTGTGCAAAGCGTCATTATAGAAGTCGAGTTGCGAGGTCGGACAGCCTGGAAGAGCTGGTTCTCACCAACAACCGCTTGGAGGTTTGGATCTTCCGAGACATCCAAACTATATCCAGCTGCCAGACTATGCCAGACTGCTACATGAGCTCACTGCGTTGCATTCCTACCCTCTGGTAATTTAACGTAGCCATGGAAAATCACCATTTTCAATGGGAAAATCCACTATAAATCACCATTTTCAATAGCTATGTTAAATTACCAGAGGGTAACATTCTTGAACCTCGTGCACCAGTTTCACAATGCGTTTTCAGCGCAGCGCAGTCAGCTGCATCCTCCCAGGAGCTGCCAGTGTCGGTTGGCGCTCTTTCAAAGCTGGCCAGCAGCCCAGACCGAAGTCTTCTGCCGGTTCGGCTTGAGATGTTCGAAATGATTGAATATGATATGAAAATATATGATATGTCTTTAAAATTATTTTGAAATAATATTAATTAAACTAATATGAAACTGATATCCTGGTAGATTCTGGTAGATTTCGTCTTGAAGCAGAGATGCGTAAGGTCTTCGTGTCTTCAATTCGGAATCTGTGTTTGGATGGTATCGACCTGCTCACAATAGTGACATCCCATGACGGATCCATGGTGCTGGTATATATGCTAACATGACTGGGGTATATTGATGGGATCCATGTTACCATTAATATGGCAGCACCATGGATCCTATGGGATCTGCAAACGTTGAATCAAAGTGCTCCTCACGCAAATTCCATTCCTAGTAGCCTAGAATGTTTGCTACTCGAGTACGTCGCATACGATTCATTGCGTCAGCTCGGTGGGGTCGGGTCCTCTGCGAAAGCTCTGCGAAAGGGCTCGAATCGAAACACACAACAGAATTGGCGCCCGGTGGATAGTGGTGGTATAAATTGTAATGACATAAATAGATGTGATTTGATATACCCTCCAGTAAATTAACATAGACCCTGCCATTTTTCGGGGTTGGAAGATTAGTTTCCATTAGAAATTGCTTATTTTCAGGGTCAACATTTACTTATTTACTAGAGAGTATATGTTAATGGAAACTAATTGTTTAATGGATTATGTCCTCTAGTTTCCATTTCATATCAAATATTTACCTTTCATATTTACCTTATAGTTTCCATTTCATATCAACTAATTTTTAGATGTTGCATGGTGCCATTGACTGCTGTTGGGGATTCCTGGCTCCGTCCAGCCATGCTGGCTACGCTGGGAGTAGCGGCAACGCTGGGTGCAACTCTGCTGATTTGGCGAAGGCACGAGACGACAATGATGGCTTTGAAATGGCTATTTTATGTTATTTTATGTTATTTTAATATGTTTTAATATGGAAAACATATACAATATTAGGGTACCCAATTTTGACCCATACCCAAACGTCCTGCACTTTGCCATGCACATATTTGGGATACTTTTTTTGCGACACATATTCGAGATGGGATGATGTAAGACCTCTTGTCTCATTTCTGTTTGTGGATAATACACTTCAAGTATCTTCAAGTCTCAAACAGCATGTGACGTTGTGCATTGATTGAGAGTTATAGACAGAGAACTGATATGAACTGATGATCATTTGCTATCATTCCGTTTAGAAGCTGCATACTCAATGTACCATGGCTGTGTCGGTTTCGCGCAGCCACCTGGAGCTGGCTAAGTCCTTGGATAGATGTGCACGAAACACTATAGAAAGTGAAAGGGCCCCCTCCAAAAGCGATAATGACACAAAAAACTCGAAAGCGATATGTCCCCCAAAAAACGATAACCATGATAATAGTAAGTACTGAGATGTAAAATATGTAAAGGAATTTCGAAGGGAGCTCACAAGACGAAAACAAAAATACATGAGAATGCATCAGATAGATATGCAAGGCCCAGGATGAACTGTTTGGAGATTAACCAGCTAAGCTTTCTTTCTGGATTTGGTTTGATTGGATCATCAGAATAGGTCGCACTAGAATCAATGCCAGAAATTCCCGCCAAAGCACCAACAAGCATGGCACGGCGGCTCATACACCTTTCTAACTGCATTATTAGGATTAGTATGAAATACCTGGTTGGTGGTTTGGAACCATGGAATTTTTATTTTCCATTTCATATATGGGATGTCATCCGAAACCCATTGACGAACTCATATTTTTCAGAGGGGTAGGTCAACCACCAATCATAGAATTGGATGATGGGAAAATTTACAGGAAAGCCCTATATTTGATGGTAAAAACCATGGTTTCCTGTAGATCTTCCCTTAAACCAATCCAGTGAACCAAGCAGATGAGTAGAGTCCACAGGTGTGGTCCGTGCCGTGTGTAGTGCGTGCCATGGCTGCGCCGTTGCCGAATGGCTTGCTGGGCTCTCCTCGGCTCCTGCCTGGTGCCTTTGGCTCCGAACAGCCGCCGGTGGATGGGGTGCCCAGATGTGGCTACGGCCATCCAGTGACCAAATGTGCTGGCCTCAGGATGGTCCACAATCAAAAGTCATGTGTCATGATTTATAATTATTTATCATGATTTATAGTGATTTAGATATGATATATATATATATACAATTATATACATATGCTTAATGAATCTTAATATATCATCATAGCCATTAAGTACTGTATCTTGTTGCGGAAGATTTTAAGTGTAACCCAGTGATCAATGCCAAACCAGCTGCTGGCAGGCAAAAAACTGAAGCCGTGGCAGGCTTCACTGACTGGCCATACCTGTGCCATTTGCTCGTCTGACATTCAGCGCCTTGAGTTTCGCTGGCGTTGCTCTGAACATTGCCCATGGGATACTCGGTGTGTAGCAGAGCCTTCAGTATGAACAATCTCATGCATTCTACCATCCTCTTCTAGTGTGTTATGTTGAATCTTTGACAAAACGGTGTTTTTTTTGATTCTGATGTGTTTGATAACGTTGGCAGCGGGGGCATTAACTTGCGAGCTGATCAGCAGATCTCCTCAGAATTCGCCAAGGACATGTGTCAGCACTGCTACGAGAATCACTGGAATCAAGTGATTCAGGACTGAAGAAAAGTATAGACGGGGCACCACCATCAGCCACCAATGATGAATTTGGACACAGCAGTTTTCTTCCTCAAAGCAATTCTCAGACACCTGAAGGTGCCAGCGGATCCATATCCAAGCGCAAGTGTTTGAAGATCTTTTGACAGATGAGGTGTCCAACTTTAGCATGTTCTAACCTGAGGTTGCCAAACAATACCTGTATGTTGCAGAGGTATCAGTGACGCCCGTGGACATCGGCCATTGCCATTCCAGGAGGCCACGGTCGTGTTGAACCGCCAACAGCGCTTGGACCTTCTGTCCGCTGTGCCGCTGGAGCGACGTCATGAGAAAGATTTTGAAGCAGCTTTTGGAGAGAACCCGGAGGATGTAACTTTGCTGACGGCGGGTGTTGGATGAATGGTGGCAGATGCACCTGGCTCACCGGGCGCTGGTCATGGCTGGTCGTTCTTGTCCCTTAAAGCGTCATGAGCGTCATGAGCTGCTGAACCATGATTTGAGAAAGTTCATCATCATCACCATCATCACCGAATCATCACCATGATCACCATGGGTCATCATCCATATGGGTATGGGTCAAAATTAGGTACCCCAATAATTATGGATGGTTAATACATGTTAATACTAAACTAGACATTCACATCTGTGGTCCCATTAATGGTCTTCCATTTTGACCCACATCGGTCTACCATGTTTGCCTCTGGAATCCTCTGGACGACGATACCCGGAGTTCCACAGCTGAGGCGAGACTGTTGCAGCCACCGGTGCAAGGCAGTGCTCTTGCTGCAAGCGCCCCGAAAAAGCAGCCGATTTTGAAGCCGCGTCAAGACAACCCAGAGCGTCTTGGTGCAAGCGTGTTTCAAGAGAAAACTTAAGTGACAACACTGAGTATCCAACCTTAACAACTCACACAAGTATTAAACTATATTAAAATGTATTAAATCTATTGTTTAAATGTTTAACAAGTTTTGTTTTATGAACCCACCACGAACGCATGAAATTGCAGATTGCAGATTCCGGTGGGATCCATGGGGTCCATGGGATCCTCGAAATTTCGTGTTTTTTTTTTCGAAAGGTCGTTCGATCCTGGCGAAAGCCTGCAGCTGATGTGTCCTCAAGGTCACCTGATCAACAAGAGGAAACTCGGAAGATTTTCGGAAGATTTTCTGGTGGTTTTTGATTGTTTTTGCAGTGCAAAACCCATCAAATATCATCAAATACGATCGAAAACCCATTCCCAAACTCATTAAAAAAACTCCCAATATGTGCTTCAATAATATCCAATCATTGGCATCCGTCCAAAAAGCGCGATGAAAAGCAATCCAGAGTACCTGCAATTCCGCGACCAAAAGAACCCACTTCTGGAACGCTACATAGTGAAGATTCTTCAATTTGACAGACCGATTCAGCCACTAAAACACCCATTAAGCAACTAAAACAATCTGCGATTTCGTTTTGGTTGACGAAGTAACGGTGGTTGACAAGTCAGACGTTTGGTTGACGGATCAGTTGACTAATCATGGTTGGTTGACAATTTTGTTTTGGGTCGACAAATGTTGACAAATACTTGTTCGACCGAAGTTCGACCCATTTTTTGACAAATTCATACTTCAAGTTTGAATTGTTTATTCTAAGTTTCGAGATGTTTGGAGCACCTCCAGTTGTGCATCCTGCCCCATTGGAACGAGCTGGCGCTGGCTGCCAGGAAAAAGCTGAAGCCCTGGCAACAGCTTCAAATCCTCGTGCACGGTGGGGAAAAACATTGCAACGAGTGCCAAGATAAAATTGCCAGCCAGGAATTTCGCTGGCGCTGTGAGCATCACTGTGATTACAACGTTTGTGTGGACTGCTCGTTGGCAGCAGCCGGAGGGTCCAGAAACGGCTTTTTTATGGTTTGGGCATGTTTTGGCAGCTGTTGGGGACACAGGACTTTTTCGCAAACATTTTAAGAAGCCGTCCTGCTGCTAACCGCGGCTGCTAGTTATGCCTAGTTTTGCGATGCAGTGATTGGCCCTGTGGACACTTTGGATGGAACATGATGGATGAAAACCTTCTGCCCAAAATATTCTGTGAACTGACCCTGTGCATGGAACGAAGGACGGGAAATTGTCACTCAAATAATTATGTTTTTGATTGACCATGCCATTAAATCCCAACCTTCAGTCTTTGGTTCCATCCATTTCAAAACTGCAAGGGTGGAAATCATTCCTGCCAAGGTTTTTTCGACATGGAGGCAGCCAGCCACAATTCTTGTTCTTCTCCATCACAGTTCCTAAAATAATTACATATATATCCATACATATCCCCCCAGAAACTTCGAAAGCCTAGTTTAGTTCTGGCACTATTTCATTTCGGGGTGCCATTTGGGGGTAATTGTTTTTTTTGGGGAAAGGGATGAACGTTTCACCTTCAGTTTCACCAGATAGCCAGGTTATCGGTCGCATTGGTCAGAAATCTTGGCCATGGTGCACAAGATGCGCGATGAGCAGAAGTGTTGGCAAATGCTGGGTGCTATTCCTCTGCATTTGAGAGATGATACGGAGCGGGGGGGATTGGCTCAGCCATTGTATACTTTGCAGTCTGTTCCTGACATTCCAAAAAAGGCATGGGTTGAGAAACCAAAGGATACAATACATGTTTTACAACTATAGTAGACTACGGTAGTACTGGTCTTTCTGTTGCGAGATGAAAAAACATCACTTCTGCTTTCAAGCAACTTGTTGACAACTTGCATTTACATTCCCTTGATGCTTTTGCCCCTGGAGACTGTGGTGGGTACAGCATGACGACAACTCCATGATTGTGGTCCCTTTTCTCAAAAAGAAGGGACACAGGATATTACACCTTTCTTTTTGCAATTGAAAGGCTGCTGATTTGTATTGATGTTTTGGGTCTCTTCATACCTCTCTACAGAAGCCCAAAGCTTCTGCCAGCAGAGTCATCGACAGAGTGTTGACAGCTCTCGCAGGAGTTCCAAGCAGCAAAGGCTCGGGTGAACCGCCGCGCCGTGCGCGAGAACCGGGAAGTCCCTGCAGAAGGGACTGCCATGGAGCAGCAAGCCGCACTTTCTGCCTATGGGACGGAAGCTGGACCCAAGCAGCTGACGCTTGGTCGAAATTCGGGGCCAGGAAATGGATACTCAACTCGGGCAGACAGTGTGGAGGATGGTACTATACTCGGTACTCGGCTTAGGAGTCAAAATGTGATTCTTTGAGCGGAATTTGAGGCCCAAATTTTGCCATATAGCCTCTTGATATAGCTGACATAGCTAAGTCGCATTACCCAAAGTTGCTAATTTCACCATGATGCCTGAGCACTTCTCTGATTTGAATGGAGATTCATGACTTTATTATGATGGGCGGGTTCAAGATATCCTTTTGGCAGCGAGTACAGTACAGGACAGACAAATGCGGAAATCTACACACACAGACCCACAAACACGCCAAGTGCCGCACCAGAACTACCTCCTTACGAAATCAGAGGAATCGGACCTTTTTTAGATTGTGCGATGATTGCGATGGCCGGCATCGTCTTTGACCTAGGAAGCTGCGCATCCAGGGAGCTATCCACGCATGGGACACATGGCTGGAATGGAGCCCACATTTCGAGATTGCCCTCTGGGTGGTCTTGGGCTGGGCTTCAGAGTCCCGGATTTTTGCAAGCGTCTCAGCCGCAGATGCTGCTGCTAATTGTCTAGTTTGTTTGAAACACTTCTCTCGTACAATCTCATCTATAAATATAAATATATATAATATATATATGAGTATTATGGTATGATCATACCTTTGCTTTTAGAACTTGCTTTCAAGCGTATTCGAAGTTGAGCTAATTTTTGTTTGAAGATGTATTCAAAGTGGACGCTTGCGCAAAGGAACTTTCTGGCTACAAGGCACTGTGAGTAATCCAATTTTTCCGCATCCGCTGCTGATTGCCTGCATCAGCACTGCAATTGCCTCGGGTTTTCTGCAATTTCTTCTTCTTGCCTTGAGAATATTTCGCCGCAAGTTTGGGGAGTTCCTTGTCAGCGGCAAAGAGGGTCGGAAGGGCATGTCATCAAAAAAGTTTGGGTCTAAGGGCCTCAAGAAACTTGAATGCATAGAATTTGTTGCAAGGTTTGCACGGAGTTGAGTTTGTGTACACCTTCATACCTTCACAAAACCTTTACCCTAGCTACCCACTTAGTAAAAGAAAACGCCGGTGGGGTTCATTTTTTGGAAAATCTTTTTTTTCAAGGGTTTCCCATCCGGCGGTGCTATCCGCTGCAGTTTTAACACCAGGTTCCGGGCAAGGTCAAGGCCCAAAAGACCAATCATTGGATTCAACTGGCTTCAAAAAGTAAGCAAAACAAACAAAGCCAAAATCAGGCCACAATGTTGATGCTACGGCCAGGCTACGGCATGTCTCAAAAGCGCAACCGATTGTGTAAGCTGTGTATAGGTGCAAAGCTTATTAGCATTTAGCTGCATTTAGCTGCACGAAAAGCCCTACAGATGCCCTAACGTTGCCCTAGCGTCGCCCTAACTTCACACTTGGGCAAACGGGACGGCCGGAGGTATATTAAAAACATAAAAGCTGGTTCACATTTTAGGTTTTGCCACCTTGATCCATCGCAATCTGATCCCGTTGTAGCGGATAGGTGCAAAGCTTTTTCAATTAGCTTCAAAATGGTTGATTTAAGCTTCCAAATCGTCGATTTTAGCTTCAAAATCGTCGATTCTAGCTTCACACGGTGCTAGGGCGACGTTAGGGCGACATTAGGGCGTCTGTAGGGCCTTTCCTGCAGCTAAATGCCGCATCACATGATGTGGCAATCCTCCAGGGGCCAACAACAGGGCACAACCGACCAGATTGTTTTTTCTTGTGCCCAGCTTGTACTTTATTCTTTCCAGAGGCTATTCCTTTTCATTCCTGTTCATTTTTCTTTTTTGTTTTGGGACTTACAAACCTTAAGCACAATGAAATGCATAGAAGATTTCTTTCGCATTCCTATGCGTTTCATTGCTTTTAAGGTCTGTGAGTCCCAAGACATGATGGAAAAATGAAAAGGAATAGCTCTGGAAAGAAAAAGGTACGGAAACCTGTAGAAATGCTCCACGGACGGTCCCATTGCTTAGGGCCTCCGGCCCTAAGCGATGGAGAGGCCCCCAGAGCGAGAAACAAGCATGTCTCTTGCTCTGGGAAGCGTCCCATTGCTTAGGGCCTCCGGCCCTAAGCAATGGGGATGCTTCCGCCCAAAAACCCATCCAATCGGTGGTGCGCTTAATTTGGTTGCTTTTAATTTCAAAATGGTCGATTTTAGGTTCAAAATGGTCGATTTCGCTTAGGGCCGGAGGCCCTAAGCAATGGGACGCTTCCCAGAGCAAGAGACATGCTTGTTTCTCGCTCTGGGGGCCTCTCCATCGCTTAGGGCCGGAGGCCCTAAGCAATGGGACCGTCCGTGGAGCATTTCTACAGGTTTCCGTACCTTTTTCTTTCCAGAGCTATTCCTTTTCATTTTTCCATCATGTCTTGGGACTCACAGACCTTAAAAGCAATGAAACGCATAGGAATGCGAAAGAAATCTTCTATGCATTTCATTGTGCTTAAGGTTTGTAAGTCCCAAAACAAAAAAGAAAAATGAACAGGAATGAAAAGGAATAGCCTCTGGAAAGAATAAAGTACAAGCTGGGTATAAGAAAAAACAATCTGGTCGGTTGTGCCCTGTTGTTGGCCCCTGGAGGATTGCCACATCATGTGATGCGGCATTTAGCTGCAGGAAAGGCCCTACAGACGCCCTAATGTCACCCTAACGTCGCCCTAACGTCGCCCTAGCACCGTGTGAAGCTAGAATCGACGATTTTGAAGCTAAAATCGACGATTTGGAAGCTTAAATCAACCATTTTGAAGCTAATTGAAAAAGCTTTGCACCTATCCGCTACAACGGGATCAGATTGCGATGGATCAAGGTGGCAAAACCTAAAATGTGAACCAGCTTTTATGTTTTTAATATACCTCCGGCCGTCCCGTTTGCCCAAGTGTTGAGACACGGTACGCAACATGAAGTGGGAATATTGATATATGGATGGCCCCAAAGGTGCTTATTACCCACCGCAGTGCCAGGTTGAAGCCTGAGGAAGCTTTCCAGTCCCAGGTAAAACACTGCCCTGACCATGCGGCTGTGCACCCTATAAAATGGCGCGATGCACTGTTTAGGCTTGTTTAGGCATTCTTGGTCTCCAAAGCCAGGATCAGGATTGGACAGGAGTAGGCAACCCCACCTTAAAAAGGAAAATGGAAAGGTCCCCCCGCACATACCCTAAGGGGTCCCTAGCCTTTACCTGTGATATCCTGTGATCTTTTTTGATATATTTTGATGTTTTTTGATGTTTTTGATGCTTTGTTTCGGCCAATTTGCCAATTTTGCCAAGGCTCCCACCAGCTCCTGCTCCGCCCCCAGCTCTTTGGCCTGCGATCCAAGCCATCCGTCAGCTGCACCTGGACGCTGCCGCGGGTGCCGCGGGTGCCACGGGCCGCCGGCGGAAACGCTCGCGGCGGCGGGCGGTTGAAGCTCCGGCACCGCCGCCCTTGCAGCCACAGATGCTGCATGCTGCTTGGAATCATTTGGAATCACCGGAATGTGGTCGGGTCACCAGTCACCTGGGAATAGGATGGAATTTTCGGATGGACTTTTTTTTGAGAGTGTTTTTGAGTGTTTTGTGTTTTTTTTGTCATTTACTGCATACCTTTAGCGTGATATTTATTAAGTTCATAGGATTTGTCAGTTGGAACTACCTAGGTATACAGCTAGATTCATGATGTCAGTTGGTACTTCATGTATATATTAAAATATAGGTACTACCTAGGTATACAGCTATTGCAAAGACGGTATATATATATATATATATATATAGCACTTGGTATTTGCATTGGTGGTTTTTGCTATTGGACTGCCAGGTCGCCTTTTGGTTGACACGACTCTTCCAGTGGAACTCTTTTAGCAAATGAAAGTGCAAATTTCAATCTACTGTCCCTGCTCAAGTAGTTGCAATATTTTTTTGGCATACTTCATGGTAACTTGCTGCATCGATGCACAAAACAAGGCTGCCATTCTATAGATACAATTGTTTGGTAAGGTTGCATAGGTGTTTCTTTTACTTGGTTTTGTGCCCTTTTGGATACCATGATAAACTTATACTGGCATAATTTAAGCTTTACCCACAGTCATGAGTACATTTATGATACTAAAATGTATGCCGTTATATTTGCAGTGACACAGCAAATTACCATGGAATATGCAGGAAAAACGCCTTTTCTGAAGCAAGGGGGAAATGGAAGTGCCCTTGGAATTTGCCAACTCTTGTGATCAACCAATATTTTACGCAAAGAGCTGTTACCGCATTAAAACCTGGAAGAATACCATTGCATATGCAGGAAAAAATGTACAAAACTTGTGCCTGTAAGGGCATAGGTGACTTACATGCCAGCCATTCCATAGCTGTATGCACTATATAAGAAAAATGTATATATGTATATATATATAATAGTTGCATTCTAAGTGCACATGCAGCTTGGATGTGTTGACACAGCAAATGGCTATGGTATCTGCAAAAAAAATGTATTGCTTTTATCACAAGAAACCCTCTAGATATCAATGCATGTTTGAAGCTGCCATTTCTACTGCATATCTACTGCACACTTGTGGCAATGCGCTTGCATACTGGTTCAAGCCACTCACCCACTAAAGCACAAACAACACCTGAAACTTTTCATACAGTATATAGATCAAAGAGCTAAGAGCAGGAGTGAGTATTGATCAAAAGGATGGGAAAGGGACCCCTTTCCATACGAATGCATTCTGGGAGATGCTACTTCCTAGTCCAATGTGTTGTGTCACAGCTGGTTTCTGTCCAGTTTTACAAACAGTCTTAATTCTTTTTGGGTGTTACTCATCCTGTCATAAAAGCACAGCCAAACAATTATGGTAACAGGGTATCTGCATAGATGTACAGTGGCATAGCAAATTACTGCGAAATATGCAGGAAAAACCTATATGTTTGGAGAACGGGTAAGTTGGAGTTGCCCTTGCCATGTGCTAACTCTTATGATCAAAGTCAGTTGCAACCAAAGAGTCTTTATTGCAGTCAATCCTAGAAGAATTCCATTGCATATGCAAAGTACATGTGGAAAATGTGTATGTATTGGCATGCACTACTTATATGCACCATTCATATCATAGATGCATACAGTAGTACTACCAAGGAAAATGCAAGCTCATCAATATATATATATATACACACTTAATATGGCTACAGTGACATTCTAAACACATATGCACCTTGGGTGTGCTGATACAGCATATGGCTATGTCATATGCAACATCCATGTTGCCTATATCACAAGGAGCTCTTGAGACATCAATATCTACTTGAAGACTGCTGTTTATTTGGTCTATAGACATATTGTATACTTGTAGCAAGATTATTATATACTATCATACCTGAAACTATTTCCTTACTAAGCACAAATATTACATGATTTCTGTCACGCAGCACATCGAACAATAAAGATTTAGTCTATCATTTACTCAAACATATGGAGCAACACACCATCTCCACATAAAGCATGATGTGTGTCGCTATTTCCCATTGTGCTGTTGCCTTGCAAATTCAATCAATGTTCTTAATTACCATGTTTGTTTTGTTTTGGGCAGCTGCTCATGCTACATCACGCAGTTTCTCAGGCTACGTCATGCCGTCGTGCTACTTGCCACTGGCTTGATATATAAATTGTGCAAAGTTATGTCGATATGCCGTCCTTTTCCCTAGCTTAAAAAAACTGTACGTTTTTCTTTTCTTTCATAATCCGTTTCTTCCTTTCGTACTCCGTTCTTGTCCACTGCAATTGCCTTCCTGACAGAGTAATAGTATGGTATCATCAGTTTTTTTTGTTTATATTTTAGATGTTGAACCGACTATAGTACAGCCCCACCACTCAAGGCTTTCAAGCGACCTTAGAAGGGATTGATGTTATTCACAGTCTTGGGGGGGGAGCTAATATATATATATGTATATATATATTTGCTCCCCCCTCCTCACCAAATGAACGGACCCTAAACCAAAAAAAAAACTAGATAAACAAATATCTCCACCAAAAAAACAAAGAGAGATCATTGACTTTATGCCTTGTATAGCACAAATTTCTAGACACGTATTTTGTGGGCCCTGGTGGCGTCCCTTTCTGATTTGTTTAGTATTTCTTGGTCATGGATAATTAATGCTGCCTTGATGGGCACCAAGGTTCAAAAGAGGGGGATGGTCATGTTTGTCAAAGTTAAGTGCTGCAGCTGTCGAGTTCTAATGCTTATCACTTATCACCTGTCGATCCATATGGTTTCTGAGCGATTTGGCAGGGACCTGTATGATCTGTGCGTGCTGCGATCGTTTGAGGTCTATTTGTTTCTTGGCATTTTCATCGGTGACTTGGCGGAAATTGAATCCCAGCGCGTTACTGCCCGAAGCGAAAGTGCTTGTGTGGGGGGTGTATGCCAACGTGAAAGAAATAACTACAGATCCGTACACAGTATTTGCATGTATTTGAGCTTTATTGACCATTTTCTGTATTAGCTTTGGGACTGCTTAGACTTGAGAGAAAGTGCTGTTTGCTTCCAGACTTGAACACATTCACTTCGTGTTGTGGGAAATGGTCTGAATCTTGAACAATCTAGCAATTTACTGTTCCCTAATATACGAAAATTGGGTGTATTTCGGGGTAACACACCTCAAGGGAAGGCTGGTTACATTTCAGGTCTTGAAACGGGCATCACCTGGACATTGTGGTACTACTGCAAGCAAAGGCCCACTCTTGGTCTTCATCCACTAGCCATGCTGCTGGTGGGACTGCTTCTTGTTTGAGCTAGGGGCTGGGAAACCGTACGTGCGTCTTTGCTGTTTCGGGTGGGGTGAGGTGGGGTGGGGTAATAACGTTCAGTTGCACTTGCACACTATGGTGATGCTACGCTACGAGATCGTCTCCAGCGTTTGGGGTGATGTGGGGTGGGGTAATAATGTTCAACTTGATGCTCCGCTGTAAGATCTTCTTGACCGTTTGCAGTAACACCTGATGCTACGCTGTAAGATCTTCTCTACCGTCTGCAGTAACACCTGATGCTACGTAAGATCTTCTCGACGTCTGCAGTAACACCTGATGCTACGCTGTAAGATCTTCTCTACCGTCTGCAGTAACGCCTGATGCTACGCAGTAAGATCTTCTCTACCGTCTGCAGTAACGCCTGATGCTACGCTGTAAGATCTTCTCTACCGTCTGCAGTAACGCCTGATGCTACGCAGTAAGATCTTCTCTACCGTCTGCAGTAACGCCTGATGCTACGCTGTAAGATCTTCTCTACCGTCTGCAGTAACGCCTGATGCTACGCAGTAAGATCTTCTCTACCGTCTGCAGTAACGCCTGATGCTACGCAGTAAGATCTTCCGTCTGCAGTAACGCTTGATGCTACGCTGTAAGATCTTCTCTACCGTCTGCAGTAACGCCTGATGCTACGCAGTAAGATCTTCTCTACCGTCTGCAGTAACGCCTGATGCTACGCAGTAAGATCTTCTCTACCGTCAAGATCATCTCTACCGTCTGCAGTAACGCCTGATGCCACGCCGTAAGATCTTCTCTACCGTCTGCGGCAACGCCTGATGCTCTGAGCACCATACTGTTGCTAACCTCAGCCGTGTCACCGCAGACACTCTTTGTGCGATCTGAAGACGTAAAAGAGCCGAAGACTGCAGATGATTTTTTTTTTAAGAAGTCCGATTTTGTTGTTCTTTTCCAATGGGAAAATGAATAATCATTAAAAGCACTGTGCATCCTGCAGAAGCAGTTCAAAAGACGTGGCCAGAATCACACAACATGGACGAAAATAGAATTCTCTGTAATTGAGGACATAAACCATGAAGACACAAATTCTCACGCTGAGAAATATGCTGCAAATACCAGAGGCACACAAAGCTGGATTCAGCAAAAACGTTAAAACGCACGCGCGGTAAACAATCCGCCGGGTGGTTTAAGTAAAAGATAGTAAAAGCTTGTCAGAGACAGAACAATTGGTCAAAAAAAGGGAGGTACTGCATGGTCACAGATTTGAAATTTTGCGTATTTTTTTTTGAATTTTAATGAAGAATCATAAGGAATTCTGATGAATTCGGACGGACCGACTCTGTTGTTAAGAGCTCAGCCTACACGGCACACCATGCATGATATGCATGAGGATTTCCATAATTTCTATGTCAAATCTCAAGGTTGGTCGGAAACGAGTCTCGCAGAGATCATCGTCTACTCTTGTCGATGATGTTGGCGTCCCTCAGCGGTTTCCTGATCTTTCCCGCATGGAATGCATGGAATGCCGGAGCGAATTCCGAAGCAGAAATCTATGGCATGGCTTTCGCGATGCTGGCGCAGCTACTAACCATGGCTCGTTGGGTTTTTGTCAATGCTGTACTGCCCAAAGTTCATCCAGCCTCGGATCGATTCGCAGCCACCATTGTGTTAGCTGCCAATGTGGCTGTCGTTGCATCTACGGCCTTGCTGGAGTTGACCACAGTGCTGGACTTTCGAGGCCAGATCGGTTTAACATGTTTAAATGTCGGAGGTGGTCGGAGGTTGGGATGCTGCACATTTATACCTTAAACATCCTTAAACTGAGTGAGAGATGTCAGAGATGGGTTCAGATACGTTTAGAATCTTTGGTGGATTGTGCTGATGTTGTTTGATATTTAGATGGACTTTAGGTTCTTGAAGTGCCATACGATTCCATTCCAATATGTTGGGCGACGTGTTGCTCCTTGATCTCCTCGTCAAGGTTACTTGGACATCCTGGAAGTAGAGCCACTTTCGTTCCTTCTGCGGGTTAGTGGCATTGGGTTTTGCGTGGCAGCTCCTTGATTTGAGTAGCTGAAAGATTTGAAAGCTGCTGAGATTCATGATCTTCTCACAGTGTCTCTTTTAAAAGAAAACAGACCACAACAAGATACATAGGTTAGTGGTGAGGTGTTTCTGATTATTATTACATTGTTTCTGATTATTTGATACAATATAGCAGAGGCACAGACACATGTTTTTTCAATTAGTTCCCTTGGATTTTTGCAACTTTCGACGGAAGTTTTTCTAGGTGAAACTGGTGGCTTTCATGAATCTGTCCAGAGTGACGTCTTTTCCCTTCATGGGGATCTTGCCCATCATCGCTGCAGTCCTTGACAAAACAGCTGGCTTTGGCTTCAGTATGAAAGAGCCCCCTGTCACCCTATCGAGCCTTGGCATCTAAGCTATGGAGTTGGCTGTCCATACTGAAACCTTCAAGTCTCAATAGCCATAGCTAAGGGACCCAGGGATGGCCCTGAATATGATACCTTCAGACTACCGCTGATAGGGCCATTGCAAACTTGGGAATGGTTTCCAGATGTTTCCAGCAGAAGTCACTGAATGATGATGGGCTGTGGGGCTGTGGGGCCCAAGATGGCCCAAGCGCTGAGCCAGGACAAAGGTGTTGGGCATCCTTTTGTGTGTTGCGTCACTGCTTTGCTATGTTCGCGCACGATCAAGCCGCTATGCGATGTTTATAGACCCACCCGACGACTCCTACGAACAGTTGGAAGACGGTCCCGAAGATCTCTAAAGGAGATTTGATGATTCAGCAATGATTCATGATTCAGAGAAAAGATTTCAGCATAGATTTCAGTGAATTTTAAAGCCACTGGTGACATTATGTGACATTCGCTGGTGGGATGCTTCAGCCCAAAGATCTGGCTGGCACCCAGCACGTCGAGTCGTGCTGCACGAAGCTTCAAAAATTGCCCCAGACCCGGTCTGAGGCAATGTTTTGCTGCTAATCTTTGGATCATGGGGGTGTTCCCTGGGTTGATGAGTTACCAACGAGCATCAAGAGGATATCAGATATCAACGAGCGGCGTGCTCCAGGTGCCGTTTGTTGCTCCAACGCCCCTTAGACGATGCTGGAGGCAGGCATCGGTATTTTCTTGCCGTTCAGTTGTTGGATGTTGTTGGGCTTGGCTGGAATCACATTCGAATAACACGAGCAATTACAGCATAGCACAGCTGCTGTTTCTCAAGTGGCTGACTCATGATGACTCAATGACACAAGAAGTGAAGATGATGGCCATGGATGGCCAGATGGCCATCATTTTCTTGGAAATCTTTGCTTTGTGTGATTAGTTATGTGAAAGTTGTGGATTGTATGCCCCTGGAGCAGATGATCTAGGTTCTCCAGCTTCTGAGCCCAATCAGAAGAAGGCCATCCGGAATGCGGAAAAAGACAGGCGCCCCTTTTTCGGAAAAAGAAAGGGCAGTAGCCGATCTATCCTGGGGGTTTTGAGCAGACTGCCGGTGGCAAAGCAACATTCGAAAGCCAGGGCCTGAATTCAGACAGGGCCTCGGATGTGAGTTTCCATGAGTTTCCCAATGCCGGCCTTGATCATGTTATTTGGGGAAGCAGTGCAGCACATGATGGGTAGTGCTCAACACAATACAGCAGGGGAAACTGGTGAATCCTGACCTCCAGAATCAATCAGTTTGATACCAGCTGCACTCAGAAGTTGGGGAGGTTGCACTCTGCCGACCTAGTGTGACTTTTATTTAGTCCAAGATTTCACTGTTTTTACGTTTCAGATCGTTTCAGCATGATGAATTGTCACATCGTGCATTGCCTATAGATACTTCATGAATTTTCATGATACTTATATCGGATCCCATAGGCCTGTAGGATCTCATAGGCGCGCGCCAATGGCGGCGTTTCTCACCGCCCCAACTGCTGCCGTTGTTGGCTCTTGTTGGAGGCGAGCCAGCTGCAGCTTCGCAGACCGCGTGGCCAGTTGCACCAAGGAGGAATATCTTCTGCGCCGGTCATTTCAGCATCGGCAAACAGTGCCTGGGAATTTTCATGGGATTTTCCAGGGGATTTTTACGAAGCTTCAGAGCTATAGCTGGAAGAGCTGCACTGTCAATTAGTCAATAATTGGGTTTGTTTCGGGGAATTTTCTATTCCGCAGGGTTTATTGATGTTTATTGTATATAAATACCAAACCAAATCAGCTCAGTTCACAAAATTCACCGGTGACAACTGCAGCGGCAGCTGCCGAGGTTTTAGCCTCGATTCTAGCGCTTCGGGAGAACGATCTCGCCTCAGCCCTGCTGAATCTGTTTCTCCACTGCTTTGATTTTTAAAGCACTTTGTCTGGACCGTTGCCATATACATATGATATAAGATGTCAAAGAACCTTCAGATATATCATGAAATGGTATGAAATGATAACGGTGATGGCACTGGAGCATCCAACTGATTGTTGCAGTCAGGAATGCGGTCTTGTCTGTACCGCCACTGTTTGAAAAGATGCTTGTTTCACTTGCACCTAGGAACTCTTCGTGGTATCCTTTGGCGTGGGCACCAAATTCCTGAAGGAGGCACAATATGGAAAAGTCACGGTCAGCTTTGAGAATCTTCGAAGGATCTCCGGATGTTTTTTTATGTTTGAACAGGGTACCCAACAGGCCCAACAGGCCCAACAGGTTACATTATTTACATATATTGGACATTCATTGGACCACATTTTCGTTGCAGAGGCAAAGTCGAAAGATGCAGTGCGCGATCTCCATGCTGAAATCTTGGCACGGAGGGGCCTGCTGCGTTTCCTCCATGAGGCATGGCTAACCATTTTTTGGTACCATGGGTCCACCACTTGGGATGCAAAAAACCCAACCTGGTGATGTCAAACATAGCTATTGAAAATGGCCATTTATAGATACCCATAGTGACTTTTCCCATTAATAGCATGGTGATTTTCCATAGTTATGTAAACGTTTACCAGAGGGTAACGAGGATCACTGTCACTATGAAAGTCCTTTCTACACCACTTCGGATGGATTCCAAAAACGAGTTCCGAGTGCCTGGTGCACTGTCGGAAAGGGTCCCATGATTCATGACATCTGTTGCTGGATGGAGGATTTGTTGCGCTGCTGGAAGGGTGAGACTACTGTGCTGGTGGAACGGTGTAAGGTGAGGCGGTGGGAAAGTGGTATGCAGTAACGCAGTACAGTCCAAACCATGATAAACATTGAGAAACAATTTGATTAATGGTAAATGATAAATTTTGATTCAGATTTTACATGATTTCAAAATTCGACCACTAAAAAACACTAAAAAACAATATATATATATAATATTTGACACCCAAGCCCCAGGCCATTCGGAGGTGTCACGAACCAAACCCAAAATTACCCAAACGGTTTGTTCTTGGTTTTTTACGACACATTTTTTAAAGGTGGGAATGAACCAATCCAATCCAGGGGGTACTCGTAGTACCAAGTTTTCCTTCGAGATCTCACCGGTTGACCCGTGGGTCGGTCAGGTTTTGCACCTTGTCGTTTTAGTTTGACGGTGGTGCAGCCTTGTTTTTGAAAAAAAATATGACAGTACAATACAGTACATACAGCAAGTGATTTGTTGCTTCGGATATTGATTCTGTTTACCATTCTGTTGCAGGACAACTGGTGCAAACTTCGCGATGATGTTTCGTTGCATTTGTACACCTCCTCTGTCCCGTGTGGCAACGCTTCCTGGAAGCGTTGGGCAAAGGGTGGAAGCCGCTCGGTACATTTCCTCACATTTACAGCGTTGGTAGTTGGGGGTTACCGCCTTTCCAACACCCTCAGCATTTGGATATACTTGGATATATTTTGATCCCCCTTGTAGATTCCTCCAAAACATGCGGTCACTCGGGGTGTCCCAAAAAACTTTTTTCTTGGTGGTGTGGAAATAGTGTTTCTTTTTGTACACCTAAAACTCGGACTCCCCGTTTTTTTGGGAGAGCATTCTGCACCATGTTGTTAAATAATTTAGATTGCTTTATTCTTTTTGAATTTGCCAAGCAGCTGCAAGGGTTTTAAGGGGAGGGTGACCTCTTCCACTCTAACTTGAACTGCCTGATTCTTCAGATAATATTTCCCTTTTTGTGAGTGTTTGTTACTTGGTTCTCTGGCTAGTGATTTTCTAGAGGGGGGCAGACTCCCATGCCTGTTGGCTTGTGATCCGTTAGATGTGACATGTTGGTAGTTCATCATGGGTTAGGCATTCGCTTGTGATGCTAATTACCTTGTATGCCCCACCACCCGACCCCCCACACCCAAACCCCTAACACCCCCCCCCCAAAACCCTAAAAGGTAGAACAAAGGTAGAACCATCGGCATTGTCAGGTTAGCCAGATGATAAGAGCAGTGCCTTATCATCCTTATCTCTCGTCCAGGTACCTCTATGCACGTAATTTGCACGTAATTTACAGAGCATGAGAATGCTTTGCGTCGCAAGTGATCGAAAAGTGTGTTCGCAAGTGAATGGCAGACCTCAGCATGGGTTCCATTGTTTGGTGTATAAAGTTGGTTGTGGAAGTCAGCAATGGAATTCCCAGGGGGATATATTTTGCATGTTTTATCATTGTTTATCACGAAAGGTAGCTCCAGAGGGGCTACCTTGAGTTTTACTTTACGAAGTAAAGGGGAGGGCGGCCAGCCCCGTTACCTGATTCTTCAGGAGATTGCTAGTTATTTTAGTACCCCCCTCCCCCCCCCCTCCACACCTCCCACGCACCCTAAGAGCAGACTCAAAATACTGTAATTTACAGTATTTTTGTTCTTTTCGGATCAAGAAACCACATTTTGTTACATGGTGAAACCTCCGTAAATACCAGTGTTTTTGCTAGGTGCTGGCCAAAAAACACTGTAAATACCGTGCTTTTTACTACCAGAGGCAAAAAACATCGTAAATACCGTGGTTTTGGGCTTCCGACCCGCCAAAAACATTGGTATTTACGGTGTTTTTTGCTCCGAGCGATGCAAAAACACGCGAAAACACCACCGATTTGACGATTTTCGGCCACTACGGAACCGAGCAAAAACGCTGCAGGGGTAACACCAACACCAACAACAACAACACCAACAGCAACAGCAACAGCAACAACAACAACGACGACGACAACAACAACAACAACAACACCAACACACAACGCACAATGCACAATGCACAACGCACAACGCACAATGCACAACGCACAACGCACAACGCACAACGCACAACGCACAACACACAAAACACACAACACACACACACACAACACACAACAACACACACAACACACACAACAACACACAACAACACACAACAACACACACACACACAACCACACACACACACACAACAACACACAACAACACACCACAACACGCAACAACACACAACAACACACCACAACACACAACAACGCAACAACAACACACAACAACACACAACAACACACAACAACACACACAACAACACAAACAACACACAACAACACACCACAACACACCACAACACACCCAACAACACACAACAACACACAACAACACACAACAACACACAACAACACACAACAACACACAACAACACACCACAACACACCACAACACACCACAACACACCACAACACACCACAACACACCACAACACACCACAACACACCACAACACACCACAACAACCACAACAACCACAACAACCACAACAACCACAACAACCACAACAACCACAACAACTACAACAACAACGAATGACAACCATAACAACAACAACACACAACAACACACAACAACACACAACAAAACACAACAACACACAACAACAAACAACAACACACAACAACACACAACAACACACAACAACACACAACAACACACAATAACACACAACATACAACAACACACAACAACACACAACAACACACACAACAACACACAACAACACACATACACACAACAACAACACACAACAACACACCACAACACACAACAACACACAACAACACACGCAACACACAACAACACAACAACACAACAACTACACACAACAACACACAACAACACACAACAACACACACACAACAACACAAACAACACACAACAACACACCACAACACACCACAACACACACAACAGCACACAACAACACACAACAACACACAACAACACACAACAACACACCACAACCCACCACAACACACAACAACACACAACAACACACAATAACACACAACAACACACAACAACACACAACAACACACAACAACAACAACAACAACAACAACAACAACAACATCAACAACAACATCAACAACAACAACACCATCAGCAGCAGCAGCAGCAACAACAACAGCAACAACAACAACAACAACAACACGAACACAAACAATACCAACACCAACAACACGACCAACAACACCAACACCACCAACAAACCCAACCACACCAACAACACAAACAACACCAGAAACACTACCACCACCAACAACACCAACAACACCAATACCAACAACACCAACAACACCAACACCACCAGCACCACCAACACCACCAACACCACAACCGCCACTAACCCCAACCACATCGCCGAAGCCTTTCAGTCGCTTTTACCAGACTCCCCTTCATATTTTTGGAAAGAAACTGGCCGCGTCGTTTTTACCAGACTCCACTTTATGTTTTTTTCCCTGCCCTCTCCCCTTCATTTTTTCTTCGGTTCCTTTTTTGCTTACCTACCTTTCGTGTTCCCCCTCTCAAGTCAGTTTATCCTTACACTCAGAATCCTTTTCAGATATGAAGCAAGCGTTGCAGATCTGAAGCAACTCAACACTGCACACACACACACACGGAATCAGAGAAATTTTAAGTCCACAAAAGGACCGCTACTCAGCTAAGCTGGAAACACAAATTGTTGATCTAAGTCAGGGCCAAGTCAGGAACCGCCTCCAAGGTCAGTGTCCTCATGTCGATTCCCAAGCATCTAGCCTGTGGCCAAAGCAGCTACATCCATTGATTCATTTGCATGAGACTTGACGCGGGCAGGGCGTGTTTTTCCTACGGGAAAGCCAGGATAACCCAGGGTCCACTCTGGCATTGTCATAACCCCTCGAAATGACTAAATGAAATCACTCTTTAAAGTGATATTATGTTCATGATTTGCTCATAGTTTCCAGTAGAGTATTTCTCAGCGCGGAATTGCATAGTGCACTGTCCTGTGTATATACATATGTTTATATATGCACCAGGCCCTGCCACCCCCCCCTCCCCCCCCATATGGGATGGGTCCCATATACTGGTCCCATATGAGATCTTCCCCCTCCCCCCCTGTGGTGTGGTGGGGGTGTGGCACTGTCCCCCTCCCCCCCCTGTGGTGTGGTGGATGGGTCCCATATACTGGTCCCATATGAGATCTTCCCCCTCCCCCCCCTGTGGTGTGGTGGGGGTGTGGCACTGTCCCCCTCCCCCCCCTGTGGTGTGGTGGATGGGTCCCATATACTGGTCCCATATGAGATCTTCCCCCTCCCCCCCCTGTGGTGTGGTGGGGGTGTGGCACTGTCCCCCTCCCCCCCTGTGGTGTGGTGGGGGTGTGGTATGGTATGGTGGGTATGTATGGTGTGTATGGTCGGTCTGGTATGGCATGTTTGGAAAGTATGGTATGTTTGGTATGTATGGTAGGTATGGTATGTATGGCATGAGTGGTTGGTATTGTATGGATGGTAGGTATGGTATGTAAGTCTGTTGGATATGGTATGTTTGATATGACAGTATGTATGGTTACTATGATGGGTATGGAATATGTCCTATCTAAGGTAGGTATGGTATGTATGGCATGTATGCTTGCTATTGTATGTATGCTATTGTATGTATGGTAGGTGTGGTAATTACATTTCATATGTATGGTATGTATGGTATGTATGATAGATATGATAGGTATGGTATGCATGGCATCATTGACATGTATGGTAGGTACGGTATATGTTCAACAGAGGTAGTGTTGTCAGAGTACACAGGTAGTAAACAGGAAGTAGATACAGTAGATACATAGCACATGTATGCATGACTATAGGTAGCACGTAGGTACTTTGAAGGAGTATGTGTGCTACGTAGGTCGCCTAAAAGGTAGCATGTACCTAGTAAATGCGAGGCTGGTAGTCAGAAATGCTGCAAAGACTTAGCAAATACGACGCTGGACCTCAGAAATGCTGCCAATAGCTTGCAAATAGAAGGGAATTGGGGCTACTACCTGGGGACCCAACCCATGGGGGGGGGGGGGTTGGAGAGACGGAGGACGGGACCATATATACACATTATATATTACAAATTATATATGTTGTATATAATTCATGCCTTGATTACTGTTCATATATCCAGGACAATATTGGTATATATTCAATATGATTCAAAATTGTGAAACCCCCAAAATGGATGCTCAAATACTAAAAAAATGCATAAATGTCCCGGCCAGAGCTATATCATACAATATCAACCGACGTTGCGCAGAGGCGAGACGAGAAGGCCAAGCAGCCTTCCTGGTGAAATCTGATTTGAAGGAAGATCAGTCAAAGCCTCACGGCATCGGTCCAGTGCCTGCCGGAACAGCGACACTTGGTAGCAAATAGAATGCATTACAAGTACCACAGAGAAGTTTTAAACAGCGCCAGGAAGTTTGGAATTTAAGTTGCTAAAGTTTGTAAATTGCCCCAATGATTGCTCTCTCTCTCTCTCTGTTTTAGTTGAGACTTCTCACTGATTTCCCTTTTTTGATGTCTCTACACCTTTTTCCAAGTCTTTGACCAAGTTTGAAGGACTCCCTTCCCATATGGCTATGGATCAATACCTATTAATACCATTTTTAGTGGGATGAACATCCATTTACCAGCTATTTTGATGTTCACCAGGGGTACAAGGTTTTGACACACTGCCATATGATATCAATATGATCTATATGGTGGCTTCCACCTGAGCATTGCTGGGCTGGTGCTGGTACTCCAAGGCCATTCCTTTCAGAGTGCAGACATAGGTCGCAGGTGCGCCAGGGCTGCTGGTGCTGGGTGCTGCCAGGGCTGATTCTGGGCATGTGCAACGTGAAACTTCTATGGCTTCTATGGTGTATAAGATGATTGCTTCCTGTCATCCACTACTCTATCATCTACCATCCAATTTTTGTTATCCAATATCAGTATCATATAAGTATCAGGCATTATCATCATCATTACATTATCATTTATTTCATCCATTATTATCATGTGCAAAAAATGTTGCCACTGATTTTGCTGCAGATTTTGCTGCAGATTTTGACAAACCTGCAGGGCCCATTGAGCTGCAGCGATAAAATGGCACAGTGGTCAGCGTTGGGCCTTGGCAACTTGGAACTTTCGGGCGGACTACGTCCCTTGCACTTGGCCACTTGCACGGTGGGATACGGTGGGGGAAAGGATGAAGATCTTGGGTCATTGATGGGAATGCAACATGTGTTTTTTTTACATGTGATAAGAGATGTAAATTAAGATATAAGATGATAAATGTATAAACTAACATTCTTGGGCGATGCATTTTTTGTTGCAGATCTTTACAGATTCTTGCAGATTCTTACAGATGTTTACAGTGGAATGAACTGGAATTCATTTCTTGAATCCAGATAGAACAAAGGCTGGTGTAAATCTGATCATGCAAATTCATTCTCAAATGTTTATTCAGTCCTTAGAGTCCTTATATTCTTCAGGTTTTCTGAGGGAATTGTCATGAATTGTCCATTCGATAGATTCGAATCATCTGGTGAAGGCAGAAATCTCAGCGGATCGCCAGGTGGGGCGCAAGTTCAGTTGGCCTCACGCAGCGAGAGCTCTTTGTTGTCGACTCCAAGATTTTGATCGCAGCCATGTGGAGGACTCGACTGGTGCCACGATGTTGCGGCAAATTGTGGCAACCACTTAGAATCAGTTTGAATATCTTGGAATCCCCCAACTAACTGGACTTCCCCTGTTCTGTAGTTTCGCGACTCCGAGATACGTAAGTACAGGACGGCAATGCAAGATGAAAATTGTGAAACCTGGGTAAAATCTGACTGACAGCAGGAGCTTCCGGAGGGCTACGGCATTCAGCATTTGGACCTGTTGCTTCGGAGACAATTTATTGGTTGTCAACTTTGGGTAGAAACCGTAGGCTTGCAGCTGAATTTGTGAAGCTGAAAAGAAAGCTGCAAAGAGAGAGAGGGAGAGATCTCAAGTGCAAACTTGGAGCAATGCTAAGCACTTGGAAACAAAATGTCATCCTCTTGACTTTACAATTTCAGCCACTGCAAAAGCATGACTAGCAAGATTTTTACGATTCTCCAGTCTACCAATATTTTCAGCTCCAAAGTAGACCACAACTGTGGGATGTTGTATGATGTTGGAGTCATCCTTAGGTATCTCCACAGCTGAGGCTTGGCTGCAGCGTGAAGCTGGATGATGGCGTCTATGAGGACTTTGCCTACGAAAAAAATCCTTTGCTACTGAAGTCCTGAGCACACTGCCCGAGGATGGAGCAGGAGCAGACTTCTCTGAACATCGCTGCCTGGTTTGGACCAGAGGAGACGAGGCAACTGGACCACGCCGATCTGGTTGATCCATTAGAATTCAGTACAGAAAAATGCTTGCAACAAATACTGTGTATAGCAATCATATGCAATCATATTGCATGATGCATGTATAGATACATGTATATATATATATTATAATAATATAATATATGATTATATATGCATACAATATACAGTACAATATGATATTCTACAATCTTGTGGTACATGACAATTTGGGTCATGATCTTGGAGTTTACAAAGCCCGCAGCCGTTTTGAGCACAGGTGGCTGAGATATTGGACGGACGTTCCGGACTTGTGGCAGCTGCTTGTCCAATGCTTGTTGTTATGGTTGCTTTGATGGTGGTGATTGTGATCATAGTTATACAATGTTATATAATTATCAGGTCTTGCTGAATGCAGGAGCTGGATGAAACTAGGACAACAACAGTCACGGGCATGATTCATGATGATTTCACTTATCTACTCAGAAAGGATGATGCTTCTTAAGAAGATAAAGAACAATTGGAAGCTGATGACGTCATGATTGTGGTCATGATCATGGTGCCAATGGTGATGAGTGCTGATGAGGAGGAGTCAGATTCCACTGATGATGTTGATGATGTATCTTTTTCAAGTGATGACAACTGCGTTCAGATATGTTCCCAGACACACTGCTGATGATATGATATATATAATATATATGCAGTATTGATGTTGTAGGATTCTTTGCTCTCTACCTGACGTCTCAGTTAAAACACATTCAGGACACGGCTGCGACATCCAGCATTTCCCCCAAAAGCTTGGCTGAACTGAGCAGAAAGTGGCAACAGTTCTTGCCCAGCGAGGCGGGATGTGGTGACTCCTGTGGTCCTGGCAATGTGAAACCCAAGCTGGTTATGACTAACAGTTTGCCATGGGAAATGGCCCAGAGAAATCGTGGATTTTCCCATGAAACATGGTGATTTTCCATAGCTTTTTGTATGTTTACCAGAGGGTAAGCAAGTCTGCCAGAATCACTATTTAATAACCATTAAAAACGGGGCTAGTCATCCAATGGTTCAGGATGGGATTTATAATAACCATTATGTTTGGATCCTTATTATGGATGGGATGACCATCAATCATATCTTGCACTTGAGAATACTTGAGAGCTCCCTTCAAAACTGCATAGATCGATACACGACGCGCTGACACGCAGTGCTCCAAGATGCTTTCGCAGTGTTGCAGGTGGTGGCAACCCGCCAGGAAGCCTACAGAGAAGCCAAGAGCTTTGGCAAAAAGCCCTGGAAATTCTGCAAGATGCGTAAACAAAATGGGGTGGACTGCCGGAAGGTCCCCCAATCTTCCCTCCTTCCCACAATAAACACTAAAATTACAGGCATCGCCGGCATTGCTCAGATTTTGTGCAAGTATATACAGCCATTCCAACACATTTGATAGCTTCAAGGAATGTCATGTTTTAGTTGATATTCAAAGTGTGTCGAAGCTTCCTGGCTCTAAGGACGCTGTTGAGGCGCTATGTTGATGAGCGCTGTTCTGCGAGTGGAGGAAAAAGAAGACGACATGTCTCAAACGCTGACAGGGAACTCCTGAGGGAAGCCTCTTCCTTGCTGGTGATCTCAGCTGATATTCCTACTCGTGGTTTGCGTTAGATTTTAATTGTGTAAAACAAAGTTAATGGCTGCCTTAAGGGCCTTTTACAAACATGCATTAAGCTTGCCTTGTGACATTTTTGCCCACCAGCATCATGTGTTGCAGGGGCATTTCAGCTAACCATTGCCTTCATCCCGAATTCACTTAATATCACTGAAAGAGAACTGAGTTCTGTGCCTTCCCATGCCTTCCCCCATGCCCATTCTTCTCGATCCTCGGGACTTGCACCAAAAATAGCCCCCGAATGTTCGAAAAAGGCCTCGAGTCTAGCTGCCTCGCTTAGGTCCGGTTGCTGGTGTCGAAGAATCGGCTTACAGTACTGCCGGCACATCTGGGGCAGTCCCTCATCCCAGAGGGACGGATCTGGAGACTCTGACACAATTACAGCAACATTTATTGGGATTTAATGGGATTTAATAGGGATTTATATATATATTATATAATTATAACCATTATAAATGGTATATCATATCTGGTTGGTGGTGACTGGAACCATGGAATTTGATTAGACTTTCCAGAAACAGTTGGGAATGTAATAATCCCAACTGACGAACTCTAATATTTTTCAGAGGGGTATAGGTATACCACCAACCAGCTATAGATCATTATTGTGACTGTTTGTATTGTTTGTGCTGTTTCGACCATTTTCGGATGCAATCAAAAAATGGAAGTTCATGGAAGTTCCACCAAACCTTTTTTTCCGTTTGCTGGATGCAATACACCGGCAGGAATTGTGAGCCGAGAGTCAAAGTCACCGCAGGGGTATTCAAGTACCCCGTGTGTTTGCCAACTGTCTTGCAGGTTGTCAAAGCTTCAGCACTTGGATGCAGCAGAGAACTCCATGTCACTCCTGCTCAAAATTGCTTCGATGTGATTGGGTTTGTCTGAAAATAGGGTTAATCTTCCCAATGAAATAGCCATTTAATATAGGGGGATAATGATCAGCAAAACCATTGGGTAAATGGGGTACACTATGGAAAATCACCATTTTTCATGGGAAAACTATGGAAAGATCCACCATTTTATATTTTTAGTGGGAAAACTATGGAAAATCACCTGTGATTGTCAAATTGGTGCAAGCCAAATAGCCTGGATCATGGCATCAACATGTCTCAGTGCCTCGGCCAGAACGTGTGTCCCAGAAGCGATCATCGCCTGCCCGTGAACCGTGCATGTTGAAAACCATTGAAAACCTCCATCGAATTCCATCGGAAATCTTGTTTCGGGAGACTTCGGGAGGGTGTTTGGAATTGTTTGGAAGCATGTTGGAGACTGATTTGTTTCCAGAACTCTGATTTCTTGCAAGGCAGAGCCAGGCAGAGGTTTCTGTGTCAAAAACTCAAAAAACATCGATGAGAGAGGTTCTTGTTCAACTCATTAACTCATGGGTAGTTGTGCGTAACAAGATCAGCACATTGCGTCAGCATAAGCTTGCTATCAGCAGTTCTTGTATCAGTTCGGCCAGGAGCCTCAACGAATTGTGGCTCAAGGGCAATCCCATAGAGCGGCTGCATCTTCAGGTAGCCAGCTGTCAGAGATGGTAAAAAAAGGAAGGAACACATCAATTTTGGCGATGTTGAGGTATAGCCGGTATAGCCAAGGTATGATATTCCCAACGGTTCGGCTTTTTGAGCATCTGATAGCATCGTTTTTCATCCTGGAGGCCATGCCTGGCTTTGAAGACTTCCTTGAGCGAAGGAAACAACGGCTGGATGCGAGGCCTGGTTTCTGTCACATGTCTGTCAGATCTGTCAGAGCAGTGTACAGCTGGTGGACACAGCTGGCCTTGGACGGGGGCCTTGCAGGATCGGATCCAACGTGGTGGGACGAGTCGACCTGAGCGTTTGTGGTTTGGACTGAGCAACAGTGCTGGCTGTGGCCAAACTTGGGGTGCGTGAGAAGCGCCAGGGGTGTATAACTGGGATGTTTTGTGATGTTTTTTTTTTTGTGTGTGTGTCCAAGGTACAGGTGATGATAAAGCAATGTTTTATGCAAGTACTTCTGTGGCTCATATTCCATCATATTCCTACGCACCCTTTTAATTGACGATTCACCCTTTGAAGGAAGGACCTTTTGACTGATTTGACTAGTTGACATTTGTACAGGGGCTGAAGACAGCCAAGTCTTGTTCAACTAGTTGAGAGTAGAATCTCTCAATGAAAACCTGAGATTCAACAGTCTGCTAAAGAGGCGCATGATGCAACATGCATTGGCACTTGATACTGGGTACAGCAAGGTGAACATCGCTTGATTGCCTCATTGGTCCATGTGAAAACTGGTTTGCTTGCCTCGTTGTGCGGTTTTGGCTCGTCAAAGATTGGAGTCGCTTTCCGACCACATGTTTTGCATGGTCATACTGAGCAGAGACAGACACCAGAAACTCATCCTTACTCATACTCCACTAGTGCATCAAGTATTTGGTAGCTTGATCATAGAACCACCAAGTGCATGTAAGCTTTCTGCAGTTCTGAAGTGTAATTGCGGCAGGTGATTCTACTTTGGGGTAGACGTTTGGAGATTAAGTTATTCGAACAATATGATTTGTGGATGTGAACAAACAATGAGGGATAATGGCAAGGTATGGTGTCACTGACAGCAATACAGGCCCCAAGTGAGCCAAACTCTGCACAGAGAGACATCCTGTGCAGACAGCCTGACCTGCCTTGGTGAGGTCTTGAGTCTTGAATGGCAGCTCAGCTGAAATCCTGAATGTGAGCTTCTTCAGTGAAACAGCCATGTTCAGATTGCTAGCAAGGATTTAATATATTTGCTTATTTGCGATGTAGTCTCCTGCTGATTTCACTTAGATTATTTTGTCAGACTTGGCTTGAACGTTGCGCTTCTATCAGCCCTTCCTGGCTTTCCCAGTGCTTGCGCGTTGTCATTTCTAGTGCTGCTTGGAATTCTCCCGTGATGATGTGAGGCTCTGGTAGACCACTTTAGTAGAGAGTGCTCACTTTGTGCCTGGAAAGTGAACGAAACACCGTGTAGCGATAGGGCCCCCCAAGAGCGATATCTACAATTCTGCATTAAGCCAAAGGTGTTGTATGCAAAGTTAAGTAGTACGTTTTTCCTCAAGCATTTTTTGTTTGCAATGTGTTAGTTTGCAAGAAGTGCTGCTGAACCACAGATGCAAAAGGCGAAATTAGCGGTACTCATGTGTTCAAAAAAGTCGCCCCCGGCCACCAATACAGACCCTTTCCTCCTTTCCTTGCGTCTTTCTGAAGGAGAGATGCCTTTTTCTTTCCTCTTTTTTCCCTCTGTGTTTCCTCTTTTTTGTTCTCTCCTTCTCTTCTCTCTTTTCCTTCCTTATCTTCGCTTTTCTCTCTTCCTTTCCTTCTCCTTTACTTGCACAGAGTTGTTCCTCCGTCATCTAAGTACAAAACGATGTGTAGCGATAGACCCCCCAAAAAAAAAACGAAAAACAATTTTTAAGATGTTTAAGTTATGTTTAAGCAAGGTAAAAACATAGAGAATCAACTGCGGCTCAGTTTGTTTGTTTCCTGAAGGCACAGCTGCCTGGCTCGACCAAAATGTCTGACATGGAGGATCTGATCTCAGTGCTCCAAGGGACGAGATGCCAGACATGGCTGGTAGATGCTGGTAGCATTCGTAGACAACTTCAGTTTGGGTGAAGCTTCAAATATCTTCAAATTAATATGAACAGAGAATAACAGAGACCCCTAAAAAATGAATGTACTGTGTTTTTCCATCAAAAAGTGCAGTGTGATTCTGAAGGTATCCTTTTCCATCACCATATATGCTTGCAAGATCCTGCAAGGCCAATCTGGAGTTTGGTCCGCAATCATGTTCCAATGGTCCAGTCTAGTGAACTTGGCTTAGGGTTTCGTTTCTAAGTTCGCATCACGCCAAGTTCCTGCTGGAGTTATTGCCAAGGAAGGAATAGCTGCCAACCCTGCAAGAAACCTAGTCACACGAGGGATTTTCTCAGGTATTGGCAGTATTGGCATGTGTTGTTTCTTTCAGTGTGCAAAGCACACTAGAGCAACAGACAGGTTTCCTGTCTGTGTTTGGGGCCACATGGAAGAAACATGAAGAAACGCAGAGAGTGTAAGAAAGTGCCACATCCATGGATTGTGTCCACATGTGTCCACTGATTGCGCAATTTGGGTTACTCTAAGTACCACCATGTACCACCAATCAGCTCGAACCCTTGGTGTACCTTGAATCAGTCAGAAGCTCAGGTGGTCAAGAAAGTCTCTACAGGCGCACCACGGAAGCGGGTTCCGGGTCTCGGTGCTGTCGAGGCCAAACATGTCGTCAATTGACTGCCTCCTCTGCACAGACAGTGAAAGACATCGGAAGATGGGGTTTACGGAACTAGGATGATCTTGAAGCAGATTCGATTCACCAGATGATTCATATGATGTATGTATATATACATATTATATTATATGTATGAGAATATATATATATATGTATTATATTATATGTATGTATATATACATATAATATGTATGTGTATATATATTATATGTACGATATATATGATATGTATGTATGTATATATATATATATAATTTGTATGTACATATATATATATATGTATGTATGTGTATATATAAAATGTATGTAGATATATAATATATACACTATGTATGTATATATATATATATATAGAGTATGTTAGTATGTTAGTATGTTAGTATGTTAGTATGTATGTCTGTCTGTCTGTCTGTCTGTTTGTATGTATGTATGTATGTATGTATGTATAATATGTATAATATGTATGTATGTATGTATGTATGTATGTATGTATGTATGTATGTATGTATGTATGTATGTATAATATGTATAATATGTATAATATGTATAATATGTATAATATGTATAACATGTATAATATGTATGTATATATAATATGTATGTATATATATATATATTATATGTATGTATATATATAATATGTATGTATATATATAATATGTATGTATATATATAATATGTATGTATATATAATATGTATGTATGTAATGTAATGTAAGGTAATGTAAGGTAATGTAATGTATGTATGTATAACATGTATGTATAATATGTATGTATACCATGTATGTATAACATGTATGTATAACATGTATGTATAATATGTATGTATAACATGTATGTATCACATGTATGTATCACATGTATGTATAACATGTATGTATAACATATATATATACAACATGTATGAGTATATATATATATATAACATGTATGCATATATATATATATATATAACATGTATGTATGTATATATATATATGTATATATATAGTCTGTATGTATGTATATGTAATATTTTTGTGTATATATATATATATACATAATATGTATATATTATATGTAAATACATATATATATATATATTATGTATATATAAAGTATGTATATATATATATATATGCTACAGGCCCTGCCACCCCCCCTCCCCCCATGGGGTGGGTACCCCCCGTAGGTTCGACACTTGGAGGCTATATCGCAGGCCAAGCCCGTATCATTTTAGAAAGCGAAAGTAAAGAAAGTAAGAAAAAGCAGGCGCAAAATGGACGCAACCAGCCGCAAAATAGACGTAACCAACCGCAGAGAAACAGCACAGAGCAGCGCATCAAGCTCACCAAGTCGATGGAGCCGACGGAGCCGACCGAGACGACCAAGCCGACCAGGCCGACCAAGCCGACCCAGCCGACCAGGCCGACCAGGCCGACCAAGCCGACCAAGCCGACCAGGCAGACCAAGCCGACCAAGCCGACACAGCCGACCAAGCCGACCAGGCCGACCAGGCCGACCAAGCCGACCCAGCCGACAAGGCCGACCAGGCCGACCAAGCCGACCAAGCCGACCAGGCCGACCAAGCCGACCAAGCCGACAAGGCCGACCAGGCCGACCACGCCGACCAGGCCGACCAGGCCGACCAAGCCGACCAGGCCGACCAGGCCGACCAGGCCGACCGGGCCGCCCACGCCGACCAAGCCGACCAGGCCGACTAATAGGCCGACCACGCCGACCGGGCCGACCAGGCCGACCAAGCCGACCAGGCCGACCGGGCCGCCTAAGCCGACCAAGCCGACCGAGCCGACCAGGCCGACCAGGCCGACTAATAGGCCGACCACGTTGACCGAGGCGACCAGGCAGACCATGCAGCTCGACCAAGCCAACCAAGCCGACCAAGCCGACCAAGCCGACCAGGCCGACCAAGCCGACCAAGCCGACCAAGCCGACCATAGACCGACTCCAGGCCGACTAAGCCGACCAAGCCGACCAGGCCGACCAAGCCGACCAAGCCGACCAGGCCGGCCAACCACAAGGCCGACCCCGCTGCATACCATACATATAGGCCTCGGGGCTCAATAGATTTGCATGGATCAAATTTGGCCCGGTGTTTCTCATGTGAGCGATGAAGTTCTTCCCGCTCACCGGCGGCCACATGCATGTGTCCAGCACGGGCACTACTTTATAACTTTTTGCCGCTGTTGTCCGGCCCGTCAGTCTGGCCGCATTCTGCCGGGTTCCACATTTGATGGCAGCAGTTTTGCCACAAATAACTTTTGTACGTTGGTTAGCAGGGCCCCGCGTGGTGACTTCCAATGCTCGCTCCTTGCAGTGGCCTAAAAGCATACCAATGATATGGCCCAAACTAGTCACTAGTTGGTATCAACAATCCCGAAAAAGGTGGTTCGAAGATGTTCGAAGCATGTATATTGAATTGCAATCCTAAGGGGTGAGTTCTGCACAGTCCGACTTGCTTCGCCGCGGCCTTCTCCGTGCTTTGAACTGAACAGAAATTGGTTGCCTACAGCATCTTAGCCCAATGTGCGATTCTGCACACGTACTGGCATGCATGTGAGGAAAGAACTATTCTACAACTGTCAACTCCCGCTAAAGACGGTGAACAGGGCAAGCCACAGTCACAGGTCACCGACGCGCATGCGTAGGAAGGGTTGTCATAAACAACAAGCTAGCCGAACAAATCCACAAATACCTTGATAAGTTTATAAAAATGCAGGTCACCTCTATATGGACAGAATCTAGGGACAGAAAACACCAACAACACAAAGCAAAGTGGCAAAGTTGCAGTAGTCAATCTTGGATGCTCAGCGCCGAAGGCCAGGAGGATGGGACGGACCGAGCTTGCCCAACGATGGGTAGGCGGTGCACCATGAGACCATACGATAACATTGTTGCACACAAACGTACGTGTTTACATACATGGCTCCCTCATCTACTCCTAGATCCTCGTCGGATTGCTGAATTTTTGCCTTTAAGAGAATAATTGCCTTTCTGATTTGCAGGCTGTTTTTTCAAAGCAGCGGCTCTTTCCATGAATTCATTTAGATCCATCTTGATTCATTATGATCCATCTTGATTTCATTAAGATTCATCTTAAGTTCACCTTGATTCTAGATCTGAACCATGATCATTCCCTCGGCACAGCCCCATCCAAATCCCATCGCTCTGTTTCATTGGTCCCATTGTCCCATCGTTGATCATAAATTATTCGATCATGAAATATCGATCATGAAGTATTGATCATGAAGTATCGATCATTAAGTATTGATCATGCATTGTTTGATCATGGGTTATCGATCATGGATTAGTTGATCATAAATTCTTCGATCATGAAGTATCGATCATTAGTTATTCGATCATGTAATATCGATCATGAAGTATTGATCATGAATTGTTTCATCATGGGTTATCTGATCATGGATTAGTTGATCATAAATTATTCGATCATGAAGTATCGTTCATTAGTTATTCGATCATGAAGTATCGATCATGAAGTCTTGATCATGAATTGTTTGATCACGGGTTATATGATCATGGACTATTTGACCATGAACTATCTGATCAAACACTCATGATCGATCGGATAAACTATTTCCGGTATATGATCATGATCGAAATGTTTGATCGTGAATTCCATGATCGACATGTTTGATCGTGAATTCCATGAGGTACCTCATATTTTATTACAACTATACGGTTTTTCCAGCGGCGTCTTTTCCCGGGTTTTCGGTGTCTTTTCCTGGGGTAGCGGCGTCTTTTGCCGTCCAGCCAATTTAAGAGATCAAAAATGAATGTATCACTTCAGTCCCGGCAGTTCAGCACCTCGACCCTCATGGATGGTGAGCAAGACAGAACATAACAGGCCAACACCTTTATTTAGTTTTACAAAAATGAAAAATAAGTGTCAATATATATATATATCTATCTATCTATGTATTTACCGTAATACAGATAGTTCTACCTATCCGTATATATATATATATGTTTACAGCTACATCTGCTCATGTTCGTGTATTTCCAAACACATTCCAAATGTTTTTTTTTTTTATAACTGACTATATAAATACAGCCATAGCTATCTAAAGAACTGCTTGCTGTTTGGCGTTGGATATGTCAAAGCTAAGCGTGGCAGACATGAACCATTTGGTGCGTGACAATGGGTCATGTGGATGGTTGTGCCACTGCTTGGGCCGAAACAAGCGCAGGCCAAGAGACTGCTTCTAGTCCGAGCAACTCGTATTGGGATTCAGATGGATTCAGGGGCTGCGGGTGTTCGCACCCATGGGCATGCTTACACATCGAGGCAAGCTTCCTGATTTGCGGGGTACATGTCAGCAGTCATGACGTATGTTATGGTCATATATTCATGAGACCGAATCACGAGACCGTATCAGCACATCACTTTTTGTGTATAGCGGAACCTACATGGCATCATGTATTGGCCATGACTTTCTCGCATGGCTCATTCGTTCCAGTGCATGGATGCTGCCATGCACGTTTTGACTATACGATGACTGGGGCGTCTTCATCTCATGGTTCATGGGGGCATGTAGGGCGCAATAGGTTGGACCACGATGAATGCCATCCGGCATCTTCCAAGGTTTTTCACAAGCGCTGTCGCAATTGGTGGCAGAGCACATGGCGCAAGCTGAAGCAGGCCGGCCTGGGGACTCGGGAGGTGGCGCCGGCGTGGACAATGTCGACCACTTTCCAGCTGCTATGAAAGAGTGGATGGCCAAGCATGGTCAAGCCCGTGCACTTCTAGAAATTGCGCCGCCGCCAATGCCAGATTTCTTGCAAGCCCCTCCGAGCCAATGCCAAAACCAAGCAGAAGGGGCCGCAGTGACACACTCCCAAGAAACTCATGACCCGTCTTCAATTTTGCAGCTCTGGCAACCAGATTGGCTACCCCGCCTCTTTGACGATGTCGGCACGGTCACAGTGGTACAAGACATGTGTGAAAGACCCGCTACGCTCGCAGAAGAGACCTCGGCTTTCCGTCGAAAAGTTGATCGATCCTTTGGATGGCACGGCAAAGTCTTGAATGACCAGCAGAAGTCCCAGCGCGCAGCCGCACAAACGACCTTGCAGTCCCTTGCCTCCACAATTGTCCATTCAGATCTACATGTCACTGTGCCAACAGTATTGAAATTGCCATGCTGCCAAGATCAAATTCATGGGTAATTCATGGGTAATTCATGGGTAGTTATTGAAATCCAAGTGGACGCAACGAGCCGAAACACGTGCTGCCGCAAATCCTTCCTTTGATGCGCAATGTTACCCTATACGCGGCGTAACCAAAACGACCCTAATTAACGCAAAGCTATCGCCCAAAGTAGCCAATTAGCGCTGCGACGCGACCTTACATGCATGAACAAAGTGCATGCAGCCGTTGCAAGCTAGCTCAAGGGACCTTTGCGGCGAGACATCTTGCAGAAATGGATGTTCCAGCGATGGATAAGTAGCAACGATGCGAGACTGCTTTGAACGCAAGCGAGAAAAAAAGGCACCATGGTTAAACAGTTTTTCCCACATAAGCGATTACAGCCAGATCACGTCTGCTTGCAAAAGCGATCTGAGCGCGTCAGCTTCTTGCACTTTCCCATTGCTGGTGCAGACACATGCACGCTCTGCTTCCTCAGCTAACCTCACAAACCCTCCCTCCCGCTCTCGCCATTGCAAGGAGCACTACAAATACAAATTTTGCGGCGGCTTGTCAGTGTGTCACCATGATGCATGTCTCTCTACATAACTCTTCTTTCAAGCACCTGTCCTTACCTGCTAGCGCTTCCCACCTAGCCGGAAGCTAGACCTTCTATAACCATTTCCAAAGTCAACATTCAATCCTATACAAAAATGGTTTGCTTCAAGTGTGTTAACCGCATTTCCACGTTCTTTGCAGTGCCTGGTGCCGAGATTGTTGGCGACGAGCCCCGATGATGGCAAGTCTGAGCTGTTGCAATGCAAGGTCTTCGCTCTGGTGGCCGGCGAACTCTATCGCAGTCACGGAGGACAGCTCTTTGAGTATTGCAATGGTGCATGGGCCCCTGCTTCCCAAGGGCTTTCCTCAGTCAACCTCGAGTTCATCCTCCAAGCCCTGCGCAGATCTCAAGCATACTTTGCCGTCATGGCCCAGATGAAGCCCAAAAGGACCTACGAAGACATCGTGTTCGAGATCAAAGCTATCCAGCAAGTGGGTCTGGAGGACGTACTGCTACAGTGGCAACTTCAAGACATCCTGCCCCGAAAGGCCGAAGTCAAGGCCAGAGAGTGGCTGTATGGTTTGTCCGAGTTGTGCCGCCACTTGCGGCATCAGTTTGACGAGCACTCCAGGACAGGAAACGTCCCACAGACTGACTCCGGGTTACGGGTTTGAATTCAAACTACCATGCTCCATGCTAACGTGCCAGCACGATAGTCAAACGAAACCACACCGGATTCAGCGCCATTCCTATGTACGGTCTCCAGCATTCATTGCCCAAGTGTGGTTTTGAGACTGTTCATGGAAACATACTCTTCACGTTGGGGCGATGAAGAAATCCGCAGCAAACAGCAGCCCGGGCTATGCTTCCAAGATGCTTTCATTTCTACTGTGGATGGACAACCGCAGCAACTGCAGAAGGATGCGCGGCATGGATGCTACGTTGCCATCCCCACGTCCATCTCGCAGACACCTTCCATGGACACACGTCGACGCTATGCCAGCATTCTCTTGTCTTCCTTTGCAGGCTCGGCTGGCCTTCAAGTCTTACTCAATCAATGTGCCCTCGTGGTGGCCCGGGTGAGGCAGCCAGATGTGCTCCACATCGTTGTGGGCTGTGGACATGATGTGAAGACTTTGATATTTGTCGACCACATGCAAGCTGTGTTTGGCAGCGCTTTCAGCTGCGCCCCGTGCAGTATGCTGCAAGCGGACCGTGAATTTCAGGTCCAGGGCGTCAACTTCATCCATTCATCTTTCCTGACTTTCGATGAATGCAAAAGAGATCAGGGAATCATGGAGGATACCGTGAAAGTGTTCGTGGGTGGGGGTTGGCTACCATTGCGGAGAAACCATGAAGCAGAAACCAAATACGGACACTGGGCACATTCCGCCAAGGTGTGGGCTATGAATGTCGGAGATATCCCGCGGGTGCCCACTGCAGAAGAAGTCTCGCACCAAAGGCGCTTCCGCTGCACCTACATGCGGTCCAAGTTCACGGCCATCCAAGATGAAGTTGATGTTGCCAACAAAGTCTTCCAAGCAGATCCCAGTGCCAAAGAGTTCATGGCCTCTGGCGCCGCTGTTTGGTGCTTTTTTTTGGATTTTCTTTTTCCACATCTTCGCTCCAATGGTCTGCAAAAGTGCAGTGACAACTTGCAGTACCTCATGCCCGAGACCACTTTGTACAAGGACACGCATTGGCTCCTCCAAAAGATGAGCCGCTGCAGCGAGCGCCCAAATCCCGATGAAGGACAAGGACCTGCACATCCAGAAATTCCGGTAGCGCAAAGCCGCTCCGAACGGATCATTCGTGAGACCCATGCGGCTGTCACCACTCAGTTTTTCTCTGCCAAGGAAGTCAATCGCCTTTTGGCCCCTTCCAATCCAGGTTCAGCTCCGCCAAAGAAGCCGGGGAAGAAACTCAGAGTAGAGTACCTCAAGGAGTCCATCCTCGTGTTCCCCCATCTCATTCGGTCCGTTGATGGCCAAGTCCGTGCTGGGAATGCGTTGGACCGCTTCGAACGTCGATGTTTGAATGTTGACGCCTGGCAGACTTGCCTCCAAACATGCTTAGGTGAAGCTCGGGTTGAAGAAATTGCTGGTACTTGGCAAGATTGGTCTTGGCCACAAGCTGCAGAAGCTTCACTGGCAGACACCATGGATGACCCCACTGGCCTTCCTCGTGGTGACTCTTGGACCATCTCTTGCAACATCAACCTTGAAGGATTGAAGCAGTATGCTGCATCCACACTTGGAGAGAAGGGTTTGCACGCCCGACAAGTTGCAGAGATTTGTGAAAGAGACAACGAGACCGTCGGAGACTTGGTCACTGTGAAGACTACAGGGCATCAAAAACAAGTGGCAGGTGAATCGCTCGGACGTGTCTTCTTTCCATGGGTGAGCTTTCCAACCCTATCTCGTTCCGCCAGAAGCTACGGCAGCCCACTGGGGACAAAGGAGTTCGACATGCCCAATGCTGTGATCCACTTTGCCCTCAAGTTCGCTGAAGAGTATGCCATGGACTTGCCGTGCTTTCGGCGGTATCACGCTTTCAAAGCTGAATGGCGCCAAGTGGTGATGTCTTGGTTCTCCTTCTCAGAGCATGATGCCAAAAAGGCGCTCCTCATGGCCTCTTTTGGCTTTGCATTTCCATCTCGCGCGAGCGGTTCACCTGTGGCCTGTCCCTTGTTGGAGGGCCTCGCTGCAGATGCCATGAAGTTGCGGGAGGTGCTTTGTCAAAAATTCCCCTCGGTAGTTCAAGACATGAAAGCAGCAAAGCGCCCGCGGCCCGAAACTTCCGCCATGGCTTTCTTGCTTTTTGACAAGGAACACAAAGCAATGCAGCTGTTCTGCGGCCTCCTGCCCAAACATGGCTTCGCTCTAGTTGCACCAGTCTTTGACGCAGTGCTTGCTGTCCCGCAAGCGAATCTGAGCATGCCAGGTGAAGAAGTAGATTCAGCAGCAAGTGAACAGGCTTTGCTGGAAGATTTCCACAGTCAGACTGGAATCATGATGCAGGTCAAACCACTGGACAGAAGCCCGCCCATGCTCACAGTGCAGCAAATCCTGGAATCCATTTTGGAAAACAATGCTGGGATCAGGATGGGCGCGATCCATCACATTCCTGGGTGTTACTCCTGTATCGGCACTGCTCTCTTGAATTTGTTCCCCGAGGAGGCTGACCCTTTGAAGGCCGCAACATCCAACTTGCCAGAGCCTATGTCCTACCAGCACATGATGCAGCTTTGTCCTCAATTTTCCATAGAGCCTGTGTCCTTGTCTCAAGCAGAGCAGTGCGGCGATGGAATGTGTTTCTTGCTACATGCATCGAGCTCATCAGCCAAGGATTGTGGCCATGCATACGGACTGAAGCTGGTCCAGGAAGCTGCTCACATTTACAGCTCCGCCGAGGAAGAATGCATCCAAACCAATGCAAAAAAGTTGTGGAAGCACTTGTCGAAAGCTCACGGGACGCAGGTTTTCCAAGTCAATGTGCTCTCCGCAGACGATCGCGCGGCCAAGAGGAGGAGAAAGGAAGCACCTTCGACTTGCCTGGAAGTCCAACTGAAAGCAGGAATGGAGGCCGAGGAGGGCTGGAGCTCCGTGGCGCCACAAGTTCGCGCCTGCATGGAAAGAGAAGTATTGCAAGAGATTACCCGTCTGGGCCTCAGTCAGTGATCGCCGCCCAAGTGCGAGCGGGACGAATGAAACGTGATGTGTTTTTTTGGCTTTCTATTGCATGGGAACAGGGGTGTGCCTTGCTGGCTGACATGTGCACACATGTTTGGACAGCGCAACAAACACACTTCTAGCGCAACTAAGCCAACTGACTTTCAGCGTGACCTTGGCGCTAAGACCTGCCCGTGCCCAGGTCTCAAAAATCAAGCCGGCTGCTCCAACCCGGACGCCTCAGAGGCAACTTACAAGTGCATCCTGTGCCCCTTCCGATCGTTCAGCAGGAGGTCCTCCTTGCTCACGCATGTCGAAAAGTACCACAAAGCAGAGAAGAACTTTGTCACTGTCAAGCAGCAGTTTGCTGTGGCGTGCGCTATCTTTGGACAGAAGCAGGCAGGGCCCAAGGGTCGGAGAGTTTGTGTCCTCTCGTATTCTGATCGCATGTATAAAGTATCATGCATATACCCCTGCGAGGCTTTGAGTCCTTTGGCTGCGCGTCCTGCCGGCACGGACACCCTGCTTTCCCAAGCTGCCATGTGCATGCGAGATTGGGTCTCTTTGGACGCAGCTTCCCTTCACTTTGTGTCGAAGCAGAATACGGTCGACATGGCTTTGCTTCTGACCCGCGCTGGGCCGAAGTATGTCCTCAAGCAGCATACAGCCCAGGCACTCCGAATCAACAAGATGCTCTACATTAGCAATGACTTTGCGGACTTGGTGTTGGCCAAAGCCATCAAGCACAGAGGCAAGATCCACAGCATGTTCAATGACATCACTACTGAGTGGGTTTGTCAAGGTAGTCCTTGTGCTTGGCTTGGGTGTCGCCGAGGGGACACACGCCAGGCCGTCTTTGAGCAGGTCATGGCTTTGAAGCCTGTGCAGGCCCTGCGAACTGCTTTGATAGCAACTGCCACCGTGCATGCGGAGTGGGTGGTTTGCAGTCATGATGCGACCTACCAAGTCCTTTTCAGCGCCATCGGACAAATGCCCATGCAGCAGAAAGAAGGAGAATTCCATGCTTTGCATACCTTCCTTGGCCGGTCTGGAGCTGTCCCTGGTTTCAGCCTCCAGCGCAGAAGGTCCGGATAGTTTCCGCTCTGCTGTAGCCCAGGTGCTCCCACATGATGCCCGCATGACAGTGAAGTATATGTTCTCTGACAATCCTGCTTCCGTGGAAGGTTCCACTGATGTCTTGCCAAACCTGGAAGCTGTTGCAGAAGATGCCTTGCACTTGGTGTTGCGAGTGGAAGCTTGCACTGGTGAGAAGCGGACGGCCTTGTCATCGAACCTACTCCGGATTATGCTGCGCTTTCGCTTGCCATGTGCTGGATCCTTCTTCCATGGTGGCACTGATGGAGATGATGAGCATGATGCAGGACAGTGGTCAGATGGAGTTGCCAAAGATGGTGTGCCAGCGGACTGGGATTGGGATGCCCGGGTGACAAAGCCGTACTCCGGCCACCAGGAATTCATCAATGACATCGAAGTGCTTTGTGCCCAACACTTGGACCAAATGAAGCGAAAGGATAAGAAGGGGCGTACAATCCAGCAGGTCTTGAAAGCCGGCACGTCTTACACGCACTTCAGGTACCTGTGGAACGGTTCCCACATCATAGCAGCCCTTCACCAAGCCATGCCCCCGAAGGAAGTGGAGCTCCTTAGCTTTGGCACGTGCAGCAATGAGGCTTTGCACTTTCAGCTCAAAGTCTGTCAAGAGCAAATCATCCAGCAGCACATCCAAACATTTCCTCCGCAGTTGGAAGCATTTAGCTTAGCAAAGCTCTTGGCGCATCATTCGGCCGCTTACTCTCCAACCTTGGCACAAAGAAAAGAATCTGAGATCTTAAGCCTCATGCAAGGTTGGCTGACCAAAGGCTTTCTCCCGCCGCTTGAAGAGGGGCGCATCCAGCCAACACTTTCCAGAGAGGACTTGCGCAGACCTGTGCATCAATTGGACCCGCAGAAGGTGGCCATCAGAAAGGACAAGGCAAGGGAGAAAGCAAAGCAATGGAGCAAGGAAGTCCAGAACAGGAAGCTCAAGCATCCGCAAAGCCGTCTGCAAAAGCCCGTCTGCAAACGCACCGTCTTTACCCAGAAGAAGCTTCTTGACTGCAAACATCCACATGTAGGCTTTGTTGCGCAAGCTGAGCAACAATTAGTGCATGGTACACATGCGGCAGATCAAAGTTCTGTAGCGCTACAACACCCAACGATGGTCAAACTTAGGGCTTTGTCCAACCAGCTATTTCTCCTCTGAATTCGTTATTCGAAACTGCGCTAACCTTCAAGGAAGGCATCCCAACCATTTGTTTTACCATGCGTTCCTTTTGCCAACCCGCCAACGCATGCGCTGCGCAGTGCGAGTCCGCCGCACTTGAAGCTACGCCTGCCGCCCTTCTGAATAATGCAAAGCTCCGGACTAAATTCGAATGTGCGCAATTTGCTGCATCCCACTTATACCGCGACAGCTGCCTCGCCTTTTTGGTTGCAAGGTGCTTCACAGCTGCTGCATTGGCATCGCGCATGCATTATCTGCTGGCCATTTTGTGCCCCAATCACATGCTGTTGTCTTCACGTGTGACATTGCCATTCATGTCCAGACTGCTTACCCCCACCCAGTAAACTCCTCTAGCTTGCTGGTTAGTTGCCTGCGTGCGCAAACAGTTGCAAGTATAAACTTGTGATCCAGCCGGCGTTTTGTGGTCATTTGAAGGCCGAGACTCCGACCTTGTTTCTTTTTAAACATGTTTTTCCACATAGAAAGCGTGCAATCCTACCCTGACCACTATAGCCGTTGTTGTCCATGTAGCTCCCCAGAAGCTCCAGGTATCCAGGGTCGACGGCCCCATTATTCTACCATGCACGATGCTTTTGGCCGCGTAATTCTAAAACAATCTCAGACACACCTGCCATCGATCGGTGGCGCAGGAACCAGAAGCCAATCGTCTAATCGCAAGTTGAAGCACGATTTTAAGGTGACAACAGATGCAACACATCACTTGTTGAGTACGTTGCGTTCTAACGATTGGTGTGATTGTCCTGCTCGCTTGGATTAAATACCGGAACGACCTTGCGCAATGCCCAGGCGGCCAAGTCGTCGCGCAGCAGTGCCTGCTGATGTGGCATCCTCTGCAGACGCGCCGCTTTGAGGTGCGCAGCCACGTGGGAGAAAGTGGAGAGGCATGTTGGAATAATCCTTCATGTCTTTGGGGCGTTACAATCTCAGCCATGGTTTGTGAACAACATTCATGTCTTACACTGTACACGTCTACAGGCAGGTGGGTTGCAACATGTAAAGTTTCTGTAAAGCATGGTTTTTAGTCTGCTTCTGGGTGCAAGCGGATGCAGAGAATATGGAGCGCCGAACCTGTGGATCAGTGGCATCTTTCCATTGCCTAGCTCGTTGGGGGCACATAGTGCCATTTATGAGTTCCATGCCGGTGCGTTAAAGACGGTTGCAAACATGAGTATACATGTCATTGGGAACCGATCCAGTCTTCATGTCACATGGCCAACCGTCATTGGTGGCCACACCGGAACGGATATAGGTGTGATGTGCGGTTCGAAACTTGAACGACGATCGAAGTCAAATATTGAATTTTTGTTCCTCGTGCCTATCAGCGAACTCGATGTTGCAGTGGCAGTGCGTGCCTTCAAGTCATCAGAGAATTCATTGTCATCGGCCAGGCCCCGGTGGAGCTGAGTGTGCTGTGCAAGAAATTCGTACTGCGCCCGTGTGCCACCATGACTTCCTTCATGGTGATTCGCGCACAGCGCTAAGCGGTTTTATGAGAATGGCCCCGGACCCTGTGTGCGGATGTTGCAATAAGCTGCAGTCCCGAACTCATTTTCAATAGAAGATTTCAAGTTTCAGTGTTCAAATCCATGTGTTGAAAGTAATAACGTTTTTCACAAGGTCCACGTTCCTGCCCGCCGGCATTGTGTTGGTATAGCCCCGAAACAAATTACATTGTTCGCGCAGGGTACGGGCCCAAATCAAACCTGCCGTGAAGCCACTGTACGTCATAACAACCCGGACCTTCCTGAGTTCAAGGCTGTGGTCATTTTTTTTGTCGACGCGATCGTTTAATGTATTCATGTTTCGCCGTGTGGTTTCAAATTAGATGTCACATGACAATCTGCAAGCTCTCTGTGTACGCCGGCCGTCAAGGGTCCATAAGTCTATGGGTAGCGACCTTTGACACACTATTTTCCAACATTTTTCAAGTCAGTCATAAAGTTTTGTGGCTCCATGTGCGATATTCACAGAGGGGCTTCTGATGTCACCAAATTAGTTTGGACATCTGCTCGACCAGGCTGTCCTGCTAACAATCAGATGCAGGCGCCTAGAGCACCAAGAAGGAAACACGAAGCCAGAAAAAATGACGCAAGCTAACTTTCTACAAACCAAAGGTTTTTCCTGAAACTCACGATTTCCGTCGCGCAAATTCCACTATCGATGCTGAGGGTAAGACGTATAGAAGCAGGCCCTAATACATTCAAGGAGGTCAGTAGGTAGTCAGATCGATACAGACGGACATGCAAAAGCTTGGTAGGTAAGGAGACAGAAGAACATTTAGACCTGTGGATGAGATCATGACAACAAGTATGTCATCATTCGGCCATATCATGTGATCCCAAGACATGCGCTTGCAAAGGCTACGACACGGAATGTTCAGCGCAAGATCTTTTCAGAACATGTGCAACAGAACGTGTTTGAGATATGTCGCAGAAGTTCACACAGCATGGGCTTTGGAGGTTTTGTCAGCGCAACCATGTCAGATTTTCTCGTTGTGTTCAGTTGAACCCGGGCATGCGCAATACATCCATGTGTATACATACACATCTGCAGTGCATATGAATACTTTTTGTAAATATATGTACATTGAAATATATGCACATATGTCGTTCAATGTCCACGTATAGGTACTTACTTGTTTATACTTTACACACGCGTTCATGTGAACCGAATTACAAAGAGAAACCTGCAATGCGTCTGTCAGATGATGTTAACTCTGGCGTTTGCAGGTGACTGGAAGACATCTCTGTGTTTTGCCGGAACGTGCATTTTTTTTGTGATACGTGGTTATCCGTTCATAGATACATAGCCGCAGGTAAGATGTACGTATGTGTGTGTACATATTTCCATATTAACATACATGTAGATATAGATAGTGCAATTCTATGTACAAAATGA